ATAAACTGATTAAATTACTTCACAAGCACGTGTCTACAACGATTGTACACAATTAGAGAGACAATTGACTGCCAGCCAGCATATGTATCAAATTAAATTAGGTTAATTGAAATTCCAAAACGAAGGCGAAAGTGCAAAGAAGTTGCCTTTTTATCACCCTCATTACTGTTTGATTTAAACCAACAATCATCCTTCGTTCTGTATATGTTTTATTAGCACCAACACCTAGGTATTATTATTATAAATATTGAAATTATTATCAGCGGAAGTGTTGTCACAAATTAAGCGTAATTTAAATTACACAAAATTTTATTAGTTAATTAAAAATGCAAATATTTGTGTATATAAGAGGAAAGAGTTTATTAATACAGATAAAATTATGTTTTTTACATACATAAAAAATTTCAATATAAAATAGACAACCCTTTGGCCTTCTTCAAAATTAAATTAGCTTGCTAATTCTGGTTTATATCTGCTGCCAAATGCAATCAAACAAGGCCAAAACCAAAGCAATTTAAATTAATTGTGTGCATATTTGACTCTGTGGTCGAATGCTAAAAAGCCAAAATATGTAATAATATAAAATTGATTCTTTTAGTTGTTTATTATTTGTGTTTTGTGTTTTTCCTTTTTTCTCTGGTTTCTGGCTTGCTATGCCTCAGGGAGGGCAAATCCAATAAAACTGCAAATTAATTATAAATTTACGTGTTTTCCTCTTTCCCCTACTTTGGTTAGCTGCGGGCCAAAAACAGTTTAAAAGAGGCTTCCAAACAGTCCCAAATAAGCCAATAAACTATTATAGACTTTAACTGATTACCAAGTAGATTACATAATGGCTAGCAATTGGTAGGCAATAATGTTTATTTATTATTTATTTCACATTTTCTTTCATTGTTAAAAACGAATAATAATAAATAAATTATTCACCACAAAGTTACATTTTTACAGAGAAAAAACCTTAAATTCAAAGAGCCACCATCTGGAAATCAACAAGTTTCCCAAAACGTTAAACACAATTTGCAATTTTCCGAATATGACACTCATTCTGTGTCATATTATGAATATTACGTGTATTATAAATAACTACTACCACTACAAACCAAATGCATACATGGAAAAGCCATAGAAAACCCATGGAAAACCCATGATAATGGGGCACCAGCAGGAAAGCCAACGAGCGGCAACGCTTATGCAAATTTTCTAGTTTCGCTTGTTTTTCCAAAAACTTACCCCCGAATGAGGCAAGATGAGTTTGGCGGGAGAGCGAGACTAATGCAAACATTTGCCGCCTTTTAGCAGCATAATTTTCACATATGTATGTGTAAGGCGTGAGTACAAAAGAAAAGCGTGTGTTTATGTTTCGGATGCGTTGCAAAATGACATCCTGTCACATTTCCCCAATGCTGTGCGTATGCGTGTGTGTGTGTGTGTGTCAGCATCCGTAGCAGGATTCTCGCATATATGCGTAACTCCCTGCGTGACTCCCAAAACTGTCAGTCCCGTCGATTCATCGTCGTCCTTCGTCCTTTTCCCGCCCAAAAAAAAAAAAGTCCCTTCGACGAAAGGATCCCGCCACGGAGGGAAACGGCAACAGCTGCTCGACAATCGCACGTTTTATTTAAATTTCACGCACCCACACTCCGCGAAAAGAAAAATCCAGCACAGTGAGGCAAGGCCTGGAAAACAGGGAACTAGATAAATGGATCTTAAAACACCAAAAGGTGTGGGTGGAAAATCAATTAAGCAACGTTAAAGTACTAAGAAATATTTAGTCCTTAAGTTAATTTCCCTCACCTTTCTCACCACACCTTGCACCACTGTACCCTGGGCCGTCACGTTGAGGCAGGTTAAATGAACAAATTTCCCTTGCCCTTCCCTTCCATCCGGCGCCATCACGAAATTTCTTTCATCACACACATGCTCACCGGCTGGAGTTTTATACACATTTAATGAGACAATATTGAAATTAACATTATTTTTTATGATTTTGATTTTATAAGTAGGCACTTTGGGCTGTCATAAAAGGCCGGAATACGGAAGCGCGCCGGATGTGTCCGGGATGTGTGCGTAAGTATGTATATGTATATGTATTTATAGCCGGTCTTTTGGAAAATAAGCCAAATAATAAAACGACAAAATGGCCCTTAGAAAGAGAGACAGCTTCCACTAATCCCAAACAAGATTGTATGATTTTTTCAGCTTTCATACTCTACCCAACTCTCCGTGGCGTATAAGTAATAACCCATCAATTTGTACTATTCAGATTATAATTCCGCCTAATAAAGTCAGGCATCAAATTTAAATCAACCGAGTATGGAGGGATCATCTAGCCAGCCGGGGATTCACACAGCCATCCATACATGTATTCAACCAAAAAGGACATAAATTATATGCATGAAATTTTAATGCGGCCTGCCATGAACAGGACTCTCGGTGGGCAATTTGGCTAAGTAGTGGCAAAGGCCACACACAGCACGGCAGAATAATCCAACGAGAGCTCGGCATTTGTGCAAAACCGCAAACTGCCAACAATTGGCTGCATATTAACTGCGAAACGTTACTGTAAATATATCAAATATATATATATACGGATATAATACTATATATTTATATTTACATAGAATATTCAGAGGTCAAATTTTGTGAATTAAATTAATTGCTTTGTCTGCAGGTTGTCAATAGTTACCGCTCTACATGCTCTACCCCGCCTACCTGAGCTCAAAGTGGCTTTAAGCTTTAAATGCAATTATTTCAATTAGGCCGGTTCGATGTTAATTAAATTTCCGTTCATGGAATTCGATGTCACATGAAATTATCAACGAACCGTTTGGTAAAAAGTATTAATCACCCTCATAAACGATTTAAATACGTTTTTAAACGGATTAAGGACTAAGATCTACTTAGGTTTTTTAATGAAAGGATTTTGGGAACTTGGGAATCAGCAATATAAACTCTCATAAACTTACTGACTAGCGCTCTTGAAGGGGCTTTAGGTGACACTTCCAACTAGCTCTCCACATACGCACATTTTTGTGGAGGAACTTTGTGCAACATGCGGCTTTGGTGAGAAATGCAATAACATTTCAGCCAGGAGGACGACAGGCACTCACGTTCATAAATGTAATGCAATTTCGAGCTGAACTTTATTTAATTGAGTATTTCGGTGTTAAGGTTGTCCCCAGCACACCCACACACCAACACACCCACAGACAATCTAAAAGATTCCGACATGTCAGTTTTATGAGAATAGTTCTGAGCTTTGTCGAAGTTTTAGTTTAATTTGAAGTTCGCTTCAGCTTTTTGTGGTTTTCCTCCCGCATTTCACGAGAAGTCTGTAAATTCCCTCAGACTTTATTCGATTTTAATACAATTCCAGCGATTGGTTTTTACATTCCATTATTATTATTTCAATTGGTATTCCGTGGGAGTGAATTTCCAGGCGGATTGCAAGTGCATCAGTGTGTAAATGTGGGCCATAAATAGTCAGAGCAACTTGCGGCAGGGTCATAAAAAATGCTCAGCGATAAATAAGAAACAAAAAGCGTTGCATACTCACAGGCGCTTACAAGAGTTTATAATGCCCTACAAGGCATTATCCTCACATGTTTCTTTATGTTCTATGTTTGTAACTGTATGTGTGTGTGAGTAAGAGTGTGTTTGTGCAGTCGAGCATCGTTTTATTTATGCTCATAATGCTGCGCAATGAATAATTATGCAAATGGAGCGGCTTATGGTCAAGCCTCCTTTTGGCCGTTCCCATGTTGCCTTGGCCATGTAAGCCAACAAATTGCAAGATTTTCCACAATTTACTGGACATTCGAGGAGGCAAAAACTTGTCATTTTAGGCGAAAAACGAGACAAAAAAAAAAGTGAAGTATTCCTAAGAGTATTTGGAAAACAGGCCAAGTAATTTTTATGGTTGCCATCCATGTGGAAGGGTTTTTAGCATATGCATGAGCTTAGTCGGTTTTGTTTTGCTTTTTTTGCCAAAATAATAAATAAATAAACGAAAAAACAAAAATATAATATTGATTTTTGATTATTTACTTACCAAAGACTTAAAATATTCAGGAAAATTTTCATATTTTTCGCTTTTAAAAAGTTTAAAGATTAAACACTGATTTAGTCTGTCATGTGGTTTCCCTTCTTTTATGAGAAGCTTTTTTCGTATAAAAATTCTTAATAATTTTATCTATATTTTACTTTTTCAATTTAATTTGTTCCTTTCTAATCCTGACAAATTCTCAAATGTCAGCGGCAAGAAAAATAATTATCAAATGCGGAGAGGAAAAAGAAAAATGCAAAACGGAAAGAAAAAGTTCAAGTTTCGCGCGCGCCTCGCAAACTTTTATGTTGTTTTCCACTTTGAGAGGGAAAGTCTCACAGCTCTACTTTCCAAAGCCCGCCCACGGCTATTTTCCACCAAACCCCAAGTTTAAGCTTATAAAACTTGGACAAAAAGTCTGGACGGATCAAAGCTTAATCGCTGGCCAGCTTTATAAATCAAAATCTGGGAATCAAAACAGAAAGTTTGCGCCCTGGACAACAAGTCGCGTAAGATTCCAAATATGTATTTGAGCTGCATAATATTTATTATCTCACAGCTGTTGACTTGCGAATAAATCAATATCGTATTAACTGCTTAGGCGGACCGAAAAACTTTTGCCTAAATACCCTCAAAGCACATAAATAACGAGAATGTCAAAAACTTTTCGCCTTCTCAGCTGCTCCCAAACAGTTTTCCTCGCCTTTTTATTTTCCTGCTTTACCAGCATCAACTGGACCGGACAAGCCAGTGAGCGAGATTTTCCAGCCAATGCCTGTCACCAGCACTTCTTCACTATATATATATATTTCCCAACCCACTTGATTTCTCCTCGATTAACTCAAGACATTTTGCAAGTGCAAATTAATTAAATAAAACCATTCCCACCCATTCGGTTGATTAATGGAATTTTTTGTGGCCTGCATACGAGTTTTAATTGAAAAACCGCAATCAATTTGTTAAGGCTAAGATGCAGCAATGACTTTATTGACGTGACTCAAACTTCAGCCAAAAGCCATTCTTGGGCTTAAGGCCATGTCCCCTGATATCATCTAGCAAATTGCGGCTTGTCTTCTCAGCTGGCTTTAGTTTGAAGTTTAAAACTAGTTGGTAAACTATTGACTTGATTTCCATCAAGGCCAGTCGATTGCCAATGCAATTGCGCGGTCCCACTCCGAAGGGCAGAAAGACACGGGACTCGTCCTTATGATCGTCAGCAAAACGTTCTGGATTAAAGGTCTCAGGATCTTCATAGTTGTCGGGATCATGGTGTAGGGAGAAGATGGGTATCTGCAGGACATCACCTTTTCGGGCTGAAAACAACTTTTGGCCATTTTCATCGTATAAATCTATATCCTTGCTGCATTCCCGATCTGTAGAGATAGCTGGTGGCCACTTCCGCAGGCCCTCTAGTACCACCATGTCCAAGTACTTCATCTTGGTTAGCTTATCATAGGTCAAAGGTTTTCCATTTAGTTCTTGGTGCACGGATAGAATCTCCTTATATAAATTGTCCTGCACTTCGGGGTTCAGGCAGAGCTCATGGGTAAGGAAACACAGGGATGAGGAGATGATCTCAAAGCCGGCAAAGAAGAACAGCAGGCACTGGGCCAACAAATCATCATTGGTGAATTCTGAATAGTAATGAGCATCCTTGGACTGATCCTTCAGATCGTTGAGCCTCTGCTGCTTGGCCTCCATCAGTAGATGGATCATATCTGGTCTTATAACCTTGTGCTCTTGGCGATACCTCATGGTTACATTGACCAAACTGCTGAAGTAGTCAATGTTTTTCATGTCCATCACCTGGATGCGAAGGAGCTAGAGATAGCAGGAGAAAATGTTTAGAGAAAAATCTATGTCAAGTTTAAGTTAAAGAGAAAATTAAGCCTTAGTTAAAGTATATTTTTGTCTTCCCTTTAAGCCATTTAACGCTAGCCCAGCATTGTAAGAAAAACCCAAAAAAGCAAAACAAGAAGCCAAAATGCCAATACTTAACCGACGTCATCAAAACAACAATAGAATTTCTTCAGTGACATCTAGACAATAGGTACCTTCATTAGTCGTGGAAAGAGGGCGTAGAGCATGGCCTTGACCACCGACCAGGCGCTAATCTTGGACAGGGACTGCCCGATCCGAAAGAACTCGTTATCTTTGCGCCTGAACGAGTTGATGCTGAGACCGAAGGCCACCGTGGCAATCACATCGTTGGCAAATCTCGTAAAGTAATCCTTCATTTCCAGGTCAATGGTGTTCTCCTCCGACAGCTGCTGCTGCAAAAGCTCTCCGATGTGGATGACACCCTCCGTGCTGCAGGACTGGATCAGCTCGTACATTATACGCATTTTGCTGCCCGTAAATGCGGGTGTCAGAATATTCCGCATCTCACGCCAACGGCCATCTCGCAGGGAAATCAAACTCTTCGAGAGTATCGACTCTTGCATATTGTTGTGCATGCTATTATGATTGACAAAATGATCGAATTCCTTGATACCTATTAGCTTGATGAGCTCAGGGTCGCGGACGAAGAACATGGGATCTCTCAGGGCATAAATGCCATAGACTGGGGATCCCGAGTACTTTAAATTCAGTTCAATCATATGTTTTAGTACGGGAATACGACCCAACATAGCCTTGATGGGTATATTACCAATCAAAGGCCAGGGCTTTTCATGTGCCACGCCCCTTTCACTGAATACATCATACTTAGCCACCGACCATTTGTAGAGCAAAAGTATAAGTACTATAAACAAAGCTAGCACTATCATCCACTGATCCATGATGTCATACATCAACGCCTAATTGAACCGCAAAAGTCGAGAGCCGGAAAAGAACTGATTTCACAGAGAGAGAGAGCAGAGCTGCCCCTGGCAAAAAAAGCTATCAAAAGCTTTCTAGGAAAAGCTATAAAATATATATGTTTACCAAGCGATCACTACTATCTCAAATCGATAAGCATTATCTATTTGTAAACACAATTTAGTTTTTATATGCTAATTACTCTGGATTTTATTAATGTAGCCAAGCCAAAGTGCATTGAAATTATCGGAAAAACACATTAGACAAATTGCCCATCAGAATGAGCTACCAAAATTTATTTAATGAAAACTAAATTGAAGTGCCATGAGCTGGGGTAACTAGCTGGCTTCCTCCCTCATCCTCTCATAATTCAAAAAATCAAAAGGAAAATCAATGTGTGTGGGCCAGGAAATGCAGCAAATAAATGTTACGATTCAATGGCAGAAATATTGCAAAATCATTGGCAAATTAGGCAGAAATTGCAGCTAAATGAGACCAGCTGGGAGTCTATGCAAGACGTGTCCTTGACTAGGAAGGATAATAGGAAAGGTCTGCTTTTTAATACCCTGAAAGATTATTACAAACTTGTAAGTTGATGTAAAAATTTATACATAAAAGTAACGAAGAGGTTTCGGGATTCATTTCCGTTTTAGTTTAAAATCTTATAAATTTGTTTAAGATTTTTGCTTATTTTTTAGGTAATTTAACAAATTTTGAACAACAATAAAACTTATTTTAGATTGCAGAAAGTAAGCTAAGAAACACATTTGCTTAAGCAGGTTAAACTATGTTTTTTTTTTAATTTAAAATATTCTTAAACCAAAATGCCCTTCCAAGAGTACAACAACCCATGACTCCCCCACAAAACTTCTATAAAAGGCTTAGAAATAAGCATGACGTCTCAAAACTTAAAAAGAAACCCTAGCCAACTTATTAGCCATGTTCGAAGACATCCAGTTGATCTACATGAACATCAAGATACTGCGCTTCTGGGCCCTTTTGTATGACAAGAACATAAGGCGTTATGTGTGCATCGGACTGGCCTCTTTCCACATCTTCACCCAGATGGTCTACATGATGAGCACCAATGAAGGATTAATCGGGATTATAAGGAACTCCTACATGCTCGTCCTGTGGATTAATACAGTGCTAAGGGCTTACCTTTTGCTGGCTGATCATGATAGATATGTGGCTTTGATCCAGAATCTAACCGAGGCCTATTATGATCTCTTGAATCTGAATGATTCGTATATATCGAAGATTTTGGCTGAGGTGAATCGAGTGGGGAGATTAATGGCCAGAGGGAATCTGTTCTTTGGAATGCTCACCTCCATGGGTTTCGGACTGTATCCGCTATCCTCAAGTGAAAGAGGTGAGTCGGGCTTTAGTTTCAAATATTCCCACTCCCTCCTATATATACGAGGTGTGTTCAAAAAGTAAGGTGACTCTTCAAATTTCGCGAATTTCAAATTTTTCGATTATCGAAACCTTTTAGAAGTTATACGAGTTGTGTTCAAAAAGTAAGGTGACTTTTCAAATTTCAAATTTTTCAAATTTTTCGATTATCTTCAGTTTTGGGAACAAGAAAAAGTCACATGGGGCCAAATCCGGTGAATATGGTGGCTGAGGCATTATTGTGGTGTTGTTTTTGGCCAAAAAATCCAAATCCTTTGATCCATATTTTTCGATAGCAAAAAATCGCCGAGCTCGCAAAATAACTTGTAACTTTACGCCTCTCACAACCAAACAAAAGAGGATGTTCCATTGAAACTTGGTACAGATGTTAGGGAAGAGTGTACCAATATAACAAAACAAAAAAATCGATAATCGAAAAATTTGAAATTCGCGAAATTTGAAGAGTCACCTTACTTTTTGAACACACCTCGTAGTCCTTCCTTTTGGCAGCCGAATACCAGGACTGAATGAGTACGAGAGTCCCTACTACGAAATGTGGTACGTCTTTCAGATGCTAATCACCCCAATGGGATGCTGCATGTACATACCATATACAAGCCTGATTGTGGGCCTGATTATGTTCGGGATTGTACGTTGCAAGGCACTACAGCATCGTCTACGTCAGGTGGCCATAATTCATCCGTATGGAGACCGCGATGCCCGGCAATTGCAGGAGGAGATTATTGCCTGCATTCGATACCAGCAGAGCATTATCGAGTACATGGATCATATCAATGAGCTGACCACAATGATGTTCCTCTTTGAATTGATGGCCTTTTCAGCCCTACTCTGTGCCCTGCTCTTTATGCTGATTATTGTGAGTATATATCTTGATAGTAGAGGGGAAACTCTGCCATATATATTGGCCATATTCCATAGGTCAGCGGCACTAGCCAGCTGATAATTGTTTGCATGTACATCAACATGATTCTGGCCCAAATTCTGGCTCTCTATTGGTATGCAAATGAGCTAAGGGAACAAAATCTGGCCGTGGCCTCGGCAGCCTATGAAACTGAATGGTTTACTTTTGATATCCCCATGAGGAAAAACATTCTCTTCATGATGATGAGGGCTCAGCGACCAGCTTCGGTGAGTCTTCTTTGGAAAACTATCATAATACCTTTTTGCAATAATTATAAGTATTAATCCTAATTATTTTATATATTTTCTATATTTTTTAATGCCTTCTTTTACCCTTTTTACTGCCATTTTTAATTTAAATATTAATTGCATTTTCCAGATACTCCTTGGTAATATACGCCCCATTACCCTGGAGCTTTTCCAGAACCTACTGAACACCACATACACGTTTTTTACGGTCCTCAAGCGAGTGTACGGATGAGCGAACAAGAACCAAAATTGAAATATTTTATTAAATAGCTTAAACACGGCATATGCAAAAACTCGCACGGCTCTCTCTCTCTCTTTAGCTGTTAACTCCGAACACAATCGAGCACATTTCACAATTGAATAAATCATTATATCAAAAGAAAATAGTTTTTCCTATTTAACTAGAAATTTTCACATTTTATTTTATTTTAGTTTTATTTTATTTTTGCTGCGCGCCATTTGCGGTTTTTGCGTATTTCACGCTGCGTTTGCCATTTTTTAACTTCCCCTACAAGAGGAAATAAGAAAAAAATTCGAACAGAGAACAAAAAAAGACTAAAATCAAATTCAGAAACAAAAAAAATAGAGCGAAAAAGTGTGGCAAGTATGCGATAAAAAAATTTGTTTGCTGAAGTTGTCAACGAACTTTTTTTTTCGCGTCCGCTGACTTTGACTGGCAGTCGCCTAGGTGCGAAAATAGCGATTCTGCAGGAACCAGGATGCAGGATGCAGGATGCAAGCCCGGCGGGCAGGTGGAAAAAAAGAGAGCTGAAAGAGAGGGCGGCAGGAGAGGAAACACATTTCAATTTGCGTGCCACGTTGCCACAGTGAGTGGCGTCGGGCGAATCAGGTTCATTATAATAATGGTGATGGAATTAAAGTGCAATTCAACCGGCTCAACTTTGATTCCTTTGTTGTAAAACAAATAATTTGACTAGAAAGAGGCGAAAGTAGAAAGGAAACGGAAGTACTAATAGAATAATGCCCATAATACGCCATTGAGTGGGGGCTACTTGGGAAAAATCGAGGGTATACCACGGGAGCTATTTAGGGGGGTAGTCAGCTTGGTTTCTAACATTTTACGTGGCTTGGTGAATGGGATTTTTTGTTATTCTAGTTCATAATTAAATTGACCTGACTAATCACTTTCTTTTTATCCAATTTAATTGTATTTTTTAGCGTGATAATTTTAATAAAATTAAATTAAACAAAAATGAAGGTAAAAAGATAAAATGAAAAAAGATTATACCTATTAACCTTACTATAAACTTTCAAATTTAAATAAAATAATTTTATTTTAGCTTATAGAATTAGTTGGTTTTTATAGTTTCATTTAAAAATGCAATTAAAGAATATTATAAATTAAAAATATATTTTGTAGAATTTTTTTCCTAAGGAACTTCTTTAGTAAATCAACGAAATAAAGTTAATTATATGTTTTAATTACGTTTGAAGACTATTTTTGTGAAAGTTTTGCGACAAAATTAGATTCTTTTCAATAGAGAAAAACTAAATATTGGTATCTATACTATAATCTATGTATTTGTAATACCCCAAACCTTCAGCCAAAGATTGCCAAGAAAATTTTAGTAAATTTTCATAATTATATAAAAAGGATCCTTCCACCCCACTCAGAACAACCCCATAAATTGCATCCTTTCCTTTTTATTAAAATTAGTAAATGTCTGTGGAACTGCACGAATTGCCAGTTCAGAATAGTCCCGGCAGGTTGGAGGAGTCGTAGATCTCGTTGACGGAGCATAGGTTAATATACACCGGATTGCGTCCACTGCGGCATTCGGTGGCCGGACGATCCCCGCTCTGATAGACCGGGGCATTGACATCGTCCGCCCGGACAAAGTTGCAGGTCATATACTGATGCACACTGGACAGCGACTGACCCGCCTCGTTGGTGGTGTTCTTGGTCTGCCGAAGGATGCCGCAACCCACATGGGTGGTACTATCCCGGACGAGCTGTGTGAAATAGGCAATGCACTTGCTGACGCGCAAGCGAAGGATTCTGGTCAGGTGAGAGGTACTCAGGAACAAGATTAGGATCTCCACTTACCTGTTACTAGGCGGACTGAAGGCTATAATATCCCGCATGCTGCACTCCTTGTACTCGGCGAACATCTGCTCCAACGTGGCCTTGATCACCTCATCCTCAGTGTGATATTCCACGGGTATTGGAGTTTCCGGATTGCCGCCACCATTGGCATTGCTTGAAGGCGAGGGATCCCCCTGCCAACCGCCTTCGGCCACCACCTGTGCCACATTCCTAAACTGCTCACTGTTCCGGCAATGATCGTTGACCAGGGCACAGCGCTTCACATTCAGCTCGGCAAAACTGGCCAGTTCCGGATCCCACTGCAATGTGGCCATTCGGGTGGCTGGGCTGAAACCCATAAGATCACCCCTGGCAATCCGATCTCGGTACTCGTTCAGCTCGTTGAGGATCATAGTGCGACGTGCTGTCGTGATACGCACTACATGGGCATCCGGACTGCAGGTGTCACCCAGCTCCTAGAAGGATCACTCATCAGGGGGGAGGTTCTCTTCTGATTAGTTCCATCTCACCCCAAAATTGTTGCAGGCTATGTGCCTTTCGGGTCCGGGACACAAGGTTGGATCGCAGTAGTCGAAGGCCTGGAGCTGCTGACCTAGTAGCGTCATCATCAGCAGCAACAGCGGCGGCCACATGGTGTCCAACATCTTGACGAGGCAGCCAGTTTAGCCAGCTCCGGCCACCCGAGGCTGCCTCTTATAGAGTTCGTAGCCACCAAATCGATTAGCGGTCAAGCGGAGCTATCAACTGCAACCATTTACTGACCACCATTCAATTATCTAATTAGTTAGGACCACCTTTAGTCACACTTTTCTACACAGCGAGAAAAGTTTGATAGTTTTTGATGTGAAATAGAAAAATAATGTAAAATGCTTATTTCTTTGATTTTGCTAACTCATCAAAGTTGATATATTTATATTATCTGATTTTTCTTCGACTGTATTTCTTCATTGACCTAAACCTTTGGAACTGAGCGGCATATGTGTTGCCACGTGCATACTGTTGGCATCCACCACCTCCTCGGCATTGCACAGGTACTTGTATATCTGGCTGGAACCAGTAACGCATTTCTCGCCAGGATTTTCACCTATCTCATACGGCTGTAGGTTATTCACCTTGGCCCTGGAAAAGTGACAGAGAAGGATCACGTTAGTAAGAGTGGCCGTTCTACCCCTCAAGCGAATAGAGCAGCCCATCCGTGCTCCATAGTCCTGGATCAGAGGTATATAGTGGCCCACGCAGGTGCTGAAATATAGTTTGAGTTAGTTTATTGATTTAAATCTCTTTAAATTATATAACCTTACCCATCTTTCTTAGGCAAAATGTTGTGACTCTCATCCATCTTACAGCCCATGAAATCGAGGAATAACTCCGGCAGCATTTTATCCAAGATCAATAAGGCCAAGTTGCCATTCCGCGGCATTGCACTGCGAAGTTCGATGGTGGCCACATAGTGAAAACTCTTGGTATTCGCACAGAATTTTCCATGCTCGTTGCACTGTCGTATTTGTAGATCGGCCAACTTCTGTAGATTATAATCCCAGATCATTGTGGGCATGCGAGCCGCCACCGAAAAGTTGTTCCCTCCACTTGCCACAAAGTTACGCAACACATTGACCCTCTCAACGATGCCGTTCTTTAAGTTGCCATTTACATTTAAAATGAGATTCTTTTTGCCACAACCACTGGCCAGGGGCTGTAAGAGGAATAGTTAAGTTCCTTCAACTTAGTTAGGATAAGCGATACTACCGCAGGACTTAGACAGCCCACGTGGACCTCATTGTTTATGCAAAGATCTGGTCTGCAGAGGGTTTTATTCTCTGGGGCCACAGCCGCAGTTAGGGTTATGAAAAACACTTGAAGATACCACAGCTGCATGTCGTGGCAAAACTATTTCAACTAACTAGTAAATCTATCTTAACTCCTAAGTACTTCTAATGCCGCTTGACCAATCTAATTGAGCTCGCCTAATTGCAAGGCATTGGGATTGACATGCTCCTCGGGTGAACAGAGCCCTTGGTATATGGAGTGGGTTCCCGCATAGCAGCGACTTCCCGGATGTGCACTCTCCCGGTAAACCAGCTCATTGGCTATCTTTCCGCGCGAGAAATGGCAAAGAAGTCCGTACTGATAGAGTCTGCTGGAGTGACTTCTTCGCATTAAGATGGCACAACCGACATGACCTGCCTGATCTTGAGCCAATTGGGTGAAGTAACCACGACACTGCCTGCAATCAAAGATCAGTTATCAATCCTCTTCTACTTGGACTAACATATATCTATATCTCACCCATCTTTGGGCGGCTTCTCTGCATTGATGTGGGCCATGCTGCATCCCTTATAATCATCCATCCAAAACTTCAACACGTACTCCATAATCGATTTGGGATTCTTCTCTTGGTGCAACCACTTGGTACTGCCATAGATAAAGGATACATATCTAAACTCATCCGTATTGCTGCAGTATTCTTCCAAGTTGTCACAACGCCTCAGGGCAAACTTGGCCAGTCCGGCGAGTTCCTCGTGCCAACGAAGGGTGGCCATTCGGGCGGCTGGTCGAAAGGCTGGATACTTGCCCATGGCCAATGTATTACGGAAATCATTCAAGGTGGCCAGTAAATAGGTACGCAGATGCATGGGGAACTTCAAGATAGTAGCTTCGCTGCCACAGCTTTCGTCAAATTCCTAGAAAACTCAAATTGTTAGTTTCTGCGTGTATGAAAAATCTCACATCTTACCCCATAATTTTCGCATGCTATATGGGCTATCTCTGATGGACACAGATACTCGTTGCAATAATCTATGGCAAACACCTCTTTGTTTATAAATATGATTATAAAGAGTGGTAGTAGATGCAACATCTGCTGGCCGTTTAAGTAGTTCAAATACAAAATGGTTTGCAATGCGAAAACGTAACCAGTTATATTGCGGAAAATCCATTTTAACTGCTTGAAACAGCATGAAAATTGTAAACAAATTTTCTTTTTTTAAGCTATAAGTTTTAAATAACTAAGAATAAGAATGAATATGAAGCAAATCCTTTACAATTTGACCCCAATTTCTCCCAAACTAATTGTTTTGATTGAGTCTGGTAAGCAAATCTCTTCAGTCTGGTCTGGTCTCTTCAGTTTAAGATAACCATTCCATTGATTGTACAAGCAAATCAAGTTTTCTATTCTATCCCATCATACCTATGTGAACTACCTTCCTCAAAGCTAAACTACATCAGTATTTTTAGCCCAAGCCAAACCATAAACCCAACTTCAGACAAAACCAGCTCAATAAAGAAAAACCCCATAATCCCACATATAAAAATCAAAAATGTTACATAAATACCAACGATTGCAACAATGCCAATATAAGCCCAATGTTAATCTTTAGGAAACACATTTAAGCACTGCACTTTGACCCAGCAACAAAATTCGATTGGATGGAATAATTGAAAACATGTTTGCATTTTCCGGTTTTTGTGCTTTTTGTGCGGAAGTGCACATCGAAACCAAAACGCTTCAGGAGATGTTTGATGTGCACTTCTCTGGTTTATTACAATTAACACTTCATGTTTTGTTTTCTCTTTCGAATTTCTTAATGTAAGTATATAAATTAAAGTAAAGTTTGGACTTAAGTTATATGTACACTTTACATACATCACAAGGAATACAAAAATGGCTCGTTGTGCTCGATCGCTTTTCCTTTGGTTTTTCTTCTACCACCGGCCGTTTTGAAAATGTATCGTCGACTAATTTAGAGTTCATTTTGGAGAATACAATAATGTAAGGGGGGGAGGAAATGGAAATGGAAACTAATGTGTTTAAGGCGAGTATAAAAAAGCTATAACGAGGCGTAAATAGGTCGCTTTTCCAGCATAAGTTCCACTATGAGTACGGCTTTGGAAATCACTGATTAAAGTTGGGATTGTAGGGTGCTTGCTTTTCATAGCCGGCGGGCATAACGCTTGGTCCTGGATGGGTTATGGCCTGGTCGTACGATGGAGGATTCATGCTGGCAGCTCCGGCTCCGGGATACGTAGGATAGACCACGCCATGTGTCTGCATGCTGTGTAAGGGATGTATCAATTAATAAATGCATTTTCCAGAAGCTTCATATTCCACTTACCCGGGCATCGGCATTTGCTGTTGGTTCTGCTGGGGCATTGGCATGGGCATCTGCATGGTCACATTGCTGCAGGGCAAAAAAGACAAAGCGAGAGTTAGTTTTCTTCTGGGGGCATTTGGCAATCCTGCGTACTTACCTGGTAGTTTGAGCGGGATACGGTGCGGGAGATGCGTAGGCATTGCCCGCCGGATAGCCCGGCGGAGGCAGCTGTGTGACCGGATATCCTCCGGGAGCCGTGTGCGTGGCGGAGGTCACCACCACGGGTGCTGCAAAAAGAGCAAAAAAAAAAGAGAAAACATGGAATATTAGAAACGGAAGAACTGGGCAGCTGGCTGATAATTCTGAGTCATCACTCCGACCACTCGAATCGCAGATCCGATAAGCTCGCAATTTTGATTAAACTCATCAATATGAAACGAAAAATTCCCCCTCGCTAACACTCAAAACAAAAAATTTAACTATTTTTTTAAGAAATATAATAAATTCTGTTTTTATAATCTTAAAATATTTAAATTTGTATCACAATAATGAAGGTTAACCTAACCTTTCCTAATTTATAACTTTAAATCACATTTATCAAACATTCCCTTTTAATGAACTTTAATCTTATCAGCCTGATCGAAAACTATATTTATAGCAATAGTTATTTATGATATTTTGTTAATAAAAATTCTATTTTCAACTCGCACTTGATTTTTCACACTAAGCATTCCCATTTTTCTAAGTGTAATCATTTTGCCAATAAATTTCCCCTTCAGTCAATGTAATTACCGCCGCTTTCATTGATTGTGTAGCCAACATTTCGTAAAGCCTTCTGCTTGCGCCTTATGCACACCACAATGGAGGTAATGAAAAATATAGTGAAAGCTATAGATAATCCGATCCAGAATGCCCACATTTTCAATGAGTAGACGGTTTAAGTTTTAAGTTGGAAAAACACAAACGCCTTCCAGACGAACACAATACAGACTGCAAAGCTCTCATCTGACGGAACCACTCATTCTGGCCATGTCTAATCAATGGTCGGTTATATGGCCAATACACGATAAGCAGCCATTGGGTGACATAGCCAAATAACACACATTCTCTCATTCTGGTTTGTTTTTATCACTAACTAATATTGGCATAAACACAACAGCTTTAAAGTTACATAAATCTAGAACACTTTTCTTTCGGTTTTTACCCATGGATCGGAACTTCTTGACTATGCAGAAGAAACATAGGCACATCGAGCAGGCTATCACTAGGAAGACCGAGAAAGCTATGATGGGAATAACATAAGGTTCCATCTTAACTATATATTATTATTATTATTGTTTTATTCGAATTTTAGCAGGTGCTACACCAGTGAGTTCACGATTTCAACTGATTCTGATACTGGTAACCTAATGGCATGGTTCTGTTATCTTGGTCAAAAGGGTGTTCCCCTGGATTGATTGGTAAAAAGCCAAACACACACACCTGCACCCTTTGTTAGGGCTGCTCTTTGGGTCCGTCCGCGGGTCAAAAATACTGCGGCGGATGTCATGAAGAATACGGAGAAGGTAAAGAATAGTATCCAATAGATGCCCGAATCATCCATGTTGATGTTTTTAATACTGAACTGTATAAGCGGCGGACAAAGACTAAACAAAAGCGAAGAACTAAAGCCGCCGGATCGGCAATCGTAAAATGTGCCCGTAATGCCCAAAGAAAAGGGCAATCGCACTCATAAAGATAGCACTTATCACTGATAACAGAGCACTTTCAGAGCCACCATTATCATAACTTACTTAAAACGAGAGCCTGACGACGACGACGTCTCCAATATAGTGCAACCATAACTATCAGTGTCAAGGTGAGTATTTTGCACATTACACGAAAAGCAGCTATATAGACTATATAACTTTTCTCCGATTCCCGAAGGTAACTAATCTCCGTTTTGTTAATCATAATTAGTTTAGAAAATTAAAGCTCTCCAAGTCTCTGGCTAGTGTTAGTGCATAGATCACTATCAAAGCAACCAATACTGCCAGGATACACGTTTCGAATGCCAGAAAAGTCCAGTTTAAATGAAGTCTCTGGGCAATATCCTCTAACACATCCCAAATGGTGGCGTTCATGCTGAAAGCCTGCAAGCTAACTAAATCGATTCGATTATCATTTACCCAATGACCCAGCAATTTACGTCACCCTTAATACCCCTATTAGCCAATAATATCCAATTATTGGCTTGCATTTAAGGGTAAGCGTAATACATTTTGTCATCTGTTATCAAATGGAATCCAAAATTGTAGGGAATCACAGTCGATTTTATCAGTAAATATTGCACAAACATAATAAAAAGCCAACAGTCATTGCCCACTTCATAAAAGGTCTTAAATCTAATAATAACAAGATAGCCCGACTATTTCACCATTGGGGTTCGTTCGTATAAGTACTAGAAGCTTTACAACTTAAGATATCTGTTATTGGATAAGAAATAAGTTAAGTTTTTATGTTGGTTTCGTATCATGTTTTCAAATTTGCTTAGTAACTTTGGTTTCGGTATCACTTTTACAGCTTTTAAGATTGAAACCACTCAAAGACCCGCAAACACTTCTCATACAGTTGATCACGTCGCCATATAATCTCAGACTTCTTGTAGACAATGACTTGAACTTTTCATCCATAAATAAAATTGACAGTGCAGATAGGGCAGCCCACAGGTATTAATATACTGGGTAATACCCATAATCGTAGAATTATCATTTTACAAGATCAGGTTAGGGAAACGACTGCAGAAGCTCCTTTCCCAGAGAGAAGGTTATTCATGGGTTAATGGTTATGAAATGAGTTAGATTTTATCCTCGATTTCTGCCATCTTAAGAGATATCAGACAGCTTATTGAAAATTCGAATTCGAACTACTAATTACCATTTTTAGACCTCTTTGGTTTTCTTTTCCTAAATCTTAAGCACGAAAACAGAAAACACTATGATTTGGCCAATATAAAACTCGGATTATCCGATTCACGTAAAAAAAGTTCATGCTTGCACTCCCAGCGTAGCCAACAAACTAAGAGATCTATCTCCCGGTGCAAAACTTTGAGACTTCAGCTTATCTCAAACATAAATAAAGAAAAATCGGTTTATTATCACACCATTCTTTTTGCATCTGCAGCAAATCTTCTTTAGCAGAATCCAAAATAGAAGAAAGGCAAGTATTATTAGCTCGGCGATTAATTTTCCCAACAGTTTATCAGTATTAATAAGGCCCCCCAGCCAATATGCCATTTTGTAGATCTAGGAAATACGTCTGTCGTCAACGAATCAAAAAACCGAACTGATTATTTTTATTTCTGTTAAAGCTCGCTTAGACGTATCCTTTGAGAAAAAATTCAACCTTTTCGTTGGAAATGGGTTTAAAATTAGTGACTGGGCTTGTTTTTATTTACATAAAGTAAAATCCCATGAATGGGTAAGTTGATTCATGGATATAAAATGACAAATTCTAATGGATATGGAATAAGTTAAATTTGATCCTCAATTTTTGCAATCTTAATAGATATTTGAAAGCTTATGGAAAATTCAAAGAGATATCAAGTGATTGTATAAAGGTATTATATAGAGACTTTTTTCGAATTGGAAAGTCAATGTAAGCAAGATTATTTTGGATAGTAGACGCAGAGTGACTAACTAATAATAAATCTGTAAGTATGAACTGTATAAAGATTAGAGTGTATTTAAAAATGACTCATTGCAATGAGAAGAGCTAGTCTTTATTCTGAAAATTTCTGTGAGAAGTCATACCCATAATCCATTCAAAAAAAGACACAACTACTAACCATTTTTAGATCTTTTTGGTTTTCTTTTCCTAAATCTTAAGCACACACAAACAGCACCAATGAAAACGAAGAACACGAAAAGAGCAAACACTATGATTAGGCCAATGTTAAATTCACTGCAACTTGACTTTATCGGATTCACGTAAAGAAAGTTCATGATTGCACTGCCAGCGTTGCCAACAAACTAAGAGATCTATCTAAAACTGCGTCGCTTTTGTTTCTCACGATGCAAAACTCTGAGACTTCGGCTTATCTCAGAGATAAATAAAGAAAAACCTGTTTATTATCATACCATTCTTTTTGCTTCTGCAGCGAAATATCCCGCAGCAAATCCTTAGCAGGATGGCAAATAGAATAGGGGTAAGGTATACTACCTTAGCAGCGATCATTGGCCCTTCTTTTGCAATATAATCATTATGAGGATCATTCGGATATGTCATTCTGTAGATCTAGGAAACACGTCTGTCTTCAACGAATCAAACAACCGAACTAATCAGCTCGCTTTGACGCGTCCTTTAAGAAAAAATCTAAGCTTTTCGTTGTAAGAGAAATGGGAAAACTGAAAGCTTGATTAAATGAAAAGACAAAAACAAGTTTTCAAATGCATAAAATGCAGTTATCGGTTTAAAATAAGTGACTGGGTTTGCTTTTATTTACATTAAGTAAAATCCCATGAATGGAGATGCTGATTCATTGATATTATACGACAAATTCTGGTCTAATGGTTATGGAATAAGTTAGTTTGGCTTTCAGATTGTTGCGGTTTTAGGTTATATCATAAATTAAAAGTCTATGTAAGCAAGATTTCGTAGGATGGTAAATGCACAGAGTGACTAACCAATAATAAATCTGACAACTATAAGGTACAAAAAGTATAACCCGGCTGCTGGAAAACACATAGATTAGATTACATTTAGAAATGACTCATTACAATTAATAACTAAAGCCCAGAAGACTTCTGTGGTTACTCATACCTCAAATAAGTTGCAAAAAAAACTTAACTACAAACCATTTAAAGATCTTTTTGGTTTTATTTTTTAATCTTAAGCGTGCACACACGAAAGGAAACAACGAAAACAGGAAACACTGCTGATTAGAACAATATTAAACTCGTTGCAACTTGGCTTTATCGCAATTAAATAACGAAAGTGGCACTGCCAGCGTTGCCAACAAACTAAGAGAACAACCTAAACCTGCGTCACTTTTGTTTCTCCCGATGCACAACATTGAGACTTTAGCTTATCTCAGAGATAAATAACATATTAATAATCATACCGTTCTCTTTACGTTTGCAACAAAACTTCCAGCAGCATGAGCCCAGAATCCAAAGTAGAGCGACCACAATAATTATAAGTCTGTAGATTTTATAAGATCCTTCTTTTCCAAATTCATTATTATAATGATCATGCGGATATGTCATTCTTTAGATATGGGGAACACGTTTGTCTTCAACGAATCGAACAACCGAACTGATCAATGTTATAACTTCTGCTAAAGCTCGCTTTGACACGTTCTTTGAGGAAAACCCCAAGCTTTTGGTTGTAAATGAAAAGGGGAAACTGAATTTATTCCCCAGTTATGAATGTACTGAATGAAAATTCATTGTTTATATGTTCGATAAATGTGAGCTTTAAATATTTATATTGATATTGGAAAGAGTTCTGAAGCTAAGGTTAAAGTTTCAAACCGTAACTAGTTGACCTTTGAGGTTTCACTTCTCTTTTTATCAGACATGATGTTTCGTCAAGCGATCAGTTGATTAAAGCAGGTTAAAAGCAACTACCTATGGCTTAAATTTAATGATTAGGACACATTACTTTTATAAAGAATCGATATAAGCAGCATGTAAAACAATCATTAATAATAAAGTTCGATTAGATTTCAGCTTTTTGATAGTGTCTTCAAACCCAACAGATTTGTCTGCGCATCTGCAAAAATTAATCTTAAAAGTAAACAAATATCAAAAAGCATTTCACAATTTTCACAGTAAACCAACCAGTAGCTAACAATTTTTTCTTTGCGGCTAATAATGTGGGTTAAACCTCTTACTATTTATTCTATTTTAAATTGCGATATCTGTATAGCCTGCTTTTCGGCTTAAATACATTAGGATTGAAATTTATTAGTAACATCGTAAATCGACAGTTTGTATCAACTAAAATAACAGAATATTGAAAAATTATCTCAATTATCTAAAAGACAAAAATTTTAAATATATTAATGTATGTCTAATGTGTCTTTTAGGTATGTTAATGTGTCTTTTCAGCTGCATAGCAAACACTTTTAAATCTAATCTAATCCATACCAGTTTTCCTGCAGTTCCAGACACACATAAAGCACACAAGCATAGTTAGAACTATAATGACCACAGGAATTAAAATAATGATTTCGAATATGTTCATTATGCAGATCTCAAAGAAACACTTATACTCGCAAAGAAATTAACAACGGCACTAAAAATACTTTGGGCTTTGCTTTAAATTTATACTGTTTTTTTATCACATAAGAACTCAGCATTTGTTTCTATAGCATATAGGGATCTTAAATATTATTATATTTAAATCATATTGCTACAGTTTAAAGACAGCTAACTTAGTATAATTGTTTATGTAGATTTTAAATAATAACTTATTACTTAAGGATTTAAGAAACTGGAACAAATAAAATGTTGAGTCAACTGCCTGAGTCAAAACATGTATATATAAAAAAAAAAAAAAAAACATGACAAATAATAAAAGTATTTCGGAGACAACATATATATTTGTGTATAGTCTGCTTTTCGGCTTAAATGTTCCGTTAAGATTACGATTGTGCCTTGTGTTGTCTTGTAGTCTGCTTTTCGGCCAAGAAATTTAATTAACATTTTGATTTTGTCATAGAAGTTTGCTTTTAATATGTTTAAAATGTTAATCAAATGTAAGTCAAAATATTTGAAAATAAATTTAAAAATAATTAAAACAAATAAAAATCTTTCTGGTCTTCTGTAATAATCCCTTCCTGATATCAGCCTTATCAGCCTTTAACAAAGAGACCATAAAATTTAAGTAAGTCGAATTTTGATTTACCACTTAAAACCAGTTCCTTAGATTAACAATCGGTGATTCAATACAAAAGGCGCAATTAACAGAATGTTATACCACAAGGTAATCAAATGACAAATTAAAACACGGCATAAATAACACTTAGTTAATCCATACCTTTCTCTTTACATTTCCACACACTCGTACAGCACGAACTACACCATATAATGTCAAAACCCGTTACTAAACAAATTATTAAGATAAATATTAAAAAATTTATCATCATTAGGCCGCTTTAAAAAACACTTCCACTTGCAAAGAACTACAAAACTGAACTACATATTTTTTTAATTTCTTGTGAAAAGCAAACCACACCCGTTATTAAAAAAAAAAATTAAAAAAAATATGAACATTATGAAAATCATCATTTGCAAAGAACTACAAAACTGAACTCAAAATTTTTAAAATTTCTTGTTAAAAGGAAATGACTATCGTACCTAACATGTGAATCACTTTGGTAAAATGTAAAACTCTAGTTCCTACTTATTTGCTTGTTGGGAGTTAAAAGAGATTTCTGTAGGACTACTTACTACTTAAAACCAGTACTGAGATTAACAATCGGTGGTTCAATACTAATGTCGTAATTAACAGAATGTTATACCATAAGGTAATCAATAAATAACACTTAGTTAATCCATACCTTTCTTTTTGCATTTCCACAAACACGTACAGCACAAAGTACAACATAAAAATAAAATGCCCACACCCATTATGAAAAGAATTATAATTAAAAATATGGAAAATAAAAAGAAAATCATTAGGCCGATTTAAAAGAAACACGTCCACTTGCAAAGAACTACAAAACTGAACTAAAAAATTTTCAAAATTTCTTGATAAATGTAAACTTTCTATCGTAACACACACAATCACATAAAAACCCATAAGTTATTCCTAAGCATATCACTCAAATATTTTAACACGTGAATCACTTTGGTAAAATGTAAAACTCTAGTTTCTACTTATTTACTTGTTGGAAGTTAAATGCGATTTCCCTAGCATGAGTAGATTTTGATATAATCCGTCTCTTAAGTGTTAAGAAACCGAATTGTGTTAAATGTTTAATTGATTCAACATTTGATTTACAAATTTTAAAACTATAACAGTTTATAGTGTACTTCCTGATAAACAGTCCTAAAGCCTTAAGCCAGTAGAAGTAACTATAGTACATTGAACCCACAGAATATTTTAAGATTTTCCTAAGATAACCAAATGCCAAATATTATATAACTTCACTATCAACTTTAAGTAATCCATACCTTTCTTTTTGCACTTCCATAAACACGTAAAAAACAGAAGCAAAAATAAAATTATATTGCACAAAGTCATAATTAAATAAATATCAGTATTAGCAAGCATAATGCCGATCTCAAAGAAACACTACTACTCGCCAGGAAATTAAAAAAGAAACTAACATTTTTTTGTGGAATCTAAATAGTTCTTTTATGAAAGGAAAACTCATAAGATTCTGCTTAAGCATACCGCTTGAATATTTTTATATATGAGTCACATAAGAAAGTTGAACAAGAACCAAACTCTTTAGCTCTAAAGTATTTTCATATCGGAACGTAAGAGTTAGCACTGCAGCATAAGTAGATTTCAATAGATGATAAATGAGTTTTTTGACAATCCGTTTCATTCCTTAAGTGCTTACCTAAGGTGTTTAGAAACCGGATTAAATTTGACATTTAAACATATGGTTACATTCTATCCTGCATTATCAAAAACCGCGTGCCGAAAAGTGTATCTCGTTTTACTTGCTTAGCAAACACTTTTAACTCTTAAGTAACCCATACCTATCTTTTTGCCCTTCCACAAACAGAAAAAAAACGAAAGCACACATAAAATTAAAAAAACCCACTCGAATGAAAGAATAAATTTCAGTTATGGTTAGCATTATGCCAATCTCAAAGTAAGACTACTACTCGCCAGGAAATTAACAATGGAACTAAAATTTTGTTGTGTAAGAACAAATATTTTTTTTAAATAAAGACTCATAAGATTATTCCTAGAAATATCGCTTGAATATTTTTAAGTATGTGTCACATTAGGAAACTGAAAAACTCTCTAGCACTTCATTATTTACTTAGTTAAGTTTACAGCTTAAAACTAACACTAAGATAGAGCTTAGAATAAAAGGTAGTCCAATACGAAAGCCGTAACTCACAGAATGTTCTATCCTGCATTATCAATAAGCAATGGAATAAGCAATCACATGCACAGCAAACACCTTTAAATATTAAGTAACCCATACCTTTTCTTTTTACTTCTACTCGTTAGGAAATGAACAACGGAAATACCTCAGATTTTAAGTTCTTTTATGAAATAAGAACTCATAGGATTCTACTTATCGGTTGAATATTTTTATGAGTCACATTAAAAAGTTGAACAAGAACCAAACTATGAAAAACTCTTAAGTTCTGAAATATTAACATATTGGAACCTTAAAGAGAGCACTCTAGATTTTAATAGATGATAAATAAGTATTTTTAAATCCATTGGTTTCTTAAGACTTTACTCAGAAAACTAAATGGAATAACATTTAAGTTTGGTTACATTCTTTATTGATTTATCATTTGATTTAATATTCTAAAACTATAAATATTTAACACAAAAAAGAGAAAACTTAAAAAACATTTAACAATAAACTGAATTGTTCTCCAACATTTTCTGGACAAAAAAACACATAGGAACTTATAACACACAGCTTAGACGTAAACCAATTAGAAAATCCACAAGACAGCGACAATTTAGAGAACTTGAAGGACTTCTCGAGTACACTGAATACTAACTTGCTTCGATCACGGCCTTGTCTGCCAACTTTTGGTTCCTTTTACGGATTACCCATCTTATTAACACCACAAGAACTAAGCAGACGACCACAGCGAATATGGAGCACAGGATGATCGTCGAGGTCTCCAGATCCTTCTCGCCCGGAACATGCGGCATGTTGTTAATTTAAGAACGATTTACTAACTAAAAGATTCGATTGGCTGACAGTCTTGAAGTTTGTCCGATGGGTATTGAAACTACGCCACGTTAAGGAGAATTTGCGAAGCGTTTCCAGTGCTCATTGCGCAGACATCCAACGATTATTGCGAACTGGATGAGCTTCCTCGACGTCTTTTGTAAGAGTCCCGGACGGTCTTGGGATGTCTATGGACGGTGAATTGAAAGGTCCGATAAGATTAGCAACACCCATACACTGTATCGGTAGTGACGCTCAGCGAGTTTAATCGGTATTAATACACCAATATAGTCCTGATACCGGTGGCACCGGTGCCAAATGTTAGCATAGATTCGGGGGGAAGCCATAAAAATTCTCAAGTGGACAAGCAGCTTGTTTTTTACAGCTTGAAACCTGCGTCAATAGTCCGCATCAATCAAAGAGAAAAAATTAGGTTTCGATTTCGAAATTTATTACTCTTTGGTGGATCCTCAAACCGATGCGATTACCCACTAACGATTCCCACAAATCTCCGATCGCCACTTACGTCAGCAGTAATCAGATAATTTAATTACGCTTATCGGATCAAGCGTGGCTGCAGGGTAAACAATAAAACCGTGTAGGAAAAGTACATGTCAATAAACCGAGTCTACCGATTTCAGCAGAAAAGGAAAGTCTGTCTCAAGTACAGAGGCAACAATCTCATTGTTGATAATCCACCAAGTATCTTATTATTTTACAACGCATTAAGGTGAGGTCTATCATAAGTACAGACATCCTGGGGTTGCTTGAACTCAGGAAAACAGCAGCTCTAATTAAAACGTAAAGTGGATGGAAATGTTTCAGACTTAGTTAATCAAACCATGTTTGTCTGTCCATATGAACATAGATACCTAGAGAACTAAAAAAAGCTAGAATGTTGGGATGAAGCCCTCAAATTCTAAGGATGCCTGGGTACTCCAAGTTTATTCAAAAGTTGGGCAGGCTAATAAAAAAGCCCGCAAGCCGGGAGAGTCATTTTCGCTTTAAAACTGAAAAAACATATTTTCATGTTTTTAAATAATTTTAAAAGCAAACTAATTTAAAGTAATACCATTTTTTTCAACGTTTTTTAAACTATACTACAAATTTGAACAGACTTCTTTAATATAAACTCAAATGAAAAGAACATTTCTTCACGTGTTATGAAAAACGTTTTTTTTTTTATGGTTTTCCCAAGAACCTTGTGCCAACTATTTGTGGTCATCTAATCAACACCGTATCACCTAATTAGAACAACACTAAATATAATTTAATATTATACCACTAAATGGTAGGAGAACTAAACGAGACTTGACGTCAAACGTTTGCAAATTAAAGATTATCGAAAATGTTAACGAGGGCGCTGATTCGATTTGATGGAAAACACTAATGATTTGTAAATTAAGGTGATAATCAGAGGTGATCGATGCAAATGGCGTCTTTGACTTGAGGCACTTATGATTAGATTTCTACAGTCCAGCTGTTTCAAGCGATTCCCAGAATCGAAGATAAGACCACCGATGATCCCACGATGATTATTTAATGACTAGTCCTCACCGGCGTTGGTCACAGTTGCGGTGCCCATTCGAAGTTGACGGGCTCGACGTGCCCGCAACAGAATCAGTATTATGACCACAATAAAGATCACCATTAGAATGGGAAACCATACATCGAAGTATATGTAAACCATTTTATATAATGTGTTTTTCTTTTTCAACGAGGCGTACGGGTTAAAAGTCGAACGAATACTAAAGAAGGTAAATTTTGCTATGCCGTGGATACAAATTGTCAGTTTGCCTTATCTGGGAAAATAAATCATTCCGTTATCGAACAAGTGCCACTGGAGATGAGTCATTTAAAATACATTTAAATTGTATTAAAATTTAAATGATACATAAATATAGTTTGTAACTATCTGTAGAGAAGATGAAACAAAACAAAAAAATGGTGAGAAAATTAAGGGAAATCAATGGGAAAATCCTGTTTGGAAAATGACAAACCATATGGTTGTATAAGATAAGATACGACAGGCATATAAATAATCCTAATAAGATAATTATTTGATAAACTTAATTAAACTTTTATCTTGAACTTTATTTGTTTTTATTTACGAATCTTTGAAGAAGCAAAAACAAAACTTCAAGAGCGGCAAAAGCTCTCTCTTTAACATTGAGATCACTCGAATGTTAGCTATATTTTATTATTAAGACTTGGCACGAAACAATACAAGTTATAGGATTTCTGTATATTTTGTATATTAGCACGCATACAATTATGATACACGCATATACAGATATATATTTTCTAGGAAGCAAACTCCACCCGCTTGTTGTTATTCTAGGAATGACTCATCGGGGGGTTTTGTTTTATCAATAGCTATAGTTATATACTTATACAGTATTGATGATATAGTTATATCTACTTACTGGACAAAACCGCACCCTGGCGTCTGCTGGTACAGCAATATCCACAGCAGCTCATTATGAGGAAAGTGAGCAAGAAAAACATGAAAATGCCCCAGAAATCCATGAAGAAGTCGTCTAAGTCCTCGTATTCAAAATCGTCCACTGAGAAGAAAGTTCAAATGATAAAATTACACAACTCATTGTAAGAGTAAACTATCTGTTATTTAAATGCTTACGTTTGGCAAATAAATTTGTTGTTATCCCCGCTTTGGAATATATAAACAAAGAAGTTCCACTTGTTGCAGTTATTTCACAACAACAGCACTGCTAATTAACCAGAATTTCGAATTTTTGTTCAAAGCACACGTGTGTCATCCGGTAAAATATCACTTAACTTCTCAGTCGAAAGGGGTTTATTGAAGCCTGATTGGAATTAGCAATATCTTATCTACAGTTAATCTGCAAACAATAAAATATATCACGATAATAATAGTCTACGTTCTACGTTTAACAACACAGCGTTTGACGAGCAATCGATAGGTAGAAATCGATACAAAGCTCACTAAACACAGCTTCATTTTACTATCGATTGGAATTAATTGAAAATTAAAAAAATTAGTTAAAACTAAAGTTTATCTTTTGCGTATTAGTTTTAGAAACAAAATAATAATTTGTTAAGCATAAAAATTTATTGTAACGAAGAAAAGAAATTATATGCCCTAACATATAAAGATAAATGAACGAGCAGTCATTTTCTAATACCAATCATACCAAAGCAATTTTAAATTTCATATTATGTTATTATTAATATTTATTAATATTTAATATTAATTAACGATAATATATATATACGATAGTTCAAAAATTACACTTAGTCACTAATCGATTTCTTAAATTTTAGCAAGTACTTAACACTTATCATTTCTATTTAAAGTTTTAAAAATATATTTTTAAAAATATACACTTAAAATAATCACATTCTGTGATGTATTAGAACCTTGCAGAATTTAGGATATTACTTAATAAGTTAAGTTAAATTGAACTCATATCAACCACAAGCTTTACCATTAATAGAGTAATAAATGCTTAAAAAACAAATTTAAAACCCTTTGGCGGACTATCGTTTCACACTTCGTGAACTATCGATAGTAAGAAAACGCGTTTAGTACTTCCTAGCAGTACTACTCACATATACATACTACTTTTGCCATTTTTATCATGGCGATTTCTTTTTGACATTTGACTACAACTGGGCGCACGTGTTTTCGGGCAAGGCTCTGTGCTAAATTATAGTAAAATCAAAGTAAATATTGAATTGTGCGGCATTTAATTGCGTTGTTACTAATCCGAATATTGTGCGTATTCCGTTAAACAGATGAATCCGGAGAAGCTGAAGAAGTTGCAGGCGCAGGTGCGCATTGGCGGCAAGGGCACCCCCCGCCGCAAGAAGAAGATTGTCCACTCCACGCCCGCCACTGACGACAAGAAGCTGCAGTCGTCCCTCAAGAAGCTGTCGGTGAACACCATTCCCGGCATCGAGGAGGTGAACATCATCAAGAATGATGGCACCGTCATTCACTTCAACAATCCCAAGGCTCAGGCCTCTCTGCCGACGAACACGTTCGCCATCACTGGCCATGGGGAGAACAAGACGATCACCGAGATGGTTCCCGGTATCCTGACGCAACTGGGTCCCCAGGACATCAACCAGCTGAAGAAGCTGGCCACGGAGATTGCCAATAAGAGCGGCGCCGGCGGCGCAGCCGGTTCTTCGGCCGCCGATGCCGGTGATGATGATGTGCCCGATCTGGTTGAGAACTTCGAAGAAGTAGCCATTGCCGGCACAAAGGAGGAGAAGTCCGGTGAGGTGGCGGCCTCCGCTTAGGAAGGTCCAACCCCATCCATTTGGACATCAAATCACACACAACACAAAAACCACATACAAAACATACGGGGCCAGGGAGCAATTCGAAGGGGCAGGCATACAGGACACACACCCACAACCCAGAAGACGGAATCACACACCACTCCCCTATTCCGTATCCAAAACGAAAGCGGAACCACTCCGGACTACTGCGGCTGTTCTGACCTGGATGGGCCACCTTCGTGCTTCCCTCTAGCCACTTTTCTGGGGGTCATGCTAAACACACTATACTAAAAATACAACAAAAATAAAGGCATCCGAGTGAGCGCTGAACAGAACACATAAGCATAATAACTATACTTAACATACTAAGGGAACCCTTCAATCTTAATCTAATAGTAATAGTTTGGAACCGTCAAATGTATTTTTCCAAAGCGATTAAAGCACGTTTCCTTAACCAACAAAATGAAAAACTACAGTCCAAACAATACACACAAACACACACATTCTAGTTTTTGCCGCCCTCCCAAGGAAATACACAGATGTATCTATATAGATATATATATGCCCTCGTAATACACACTACATACTATATATAAATACGGTTTTCGGAAGAATTGAATCGAGGTGATTAGGGGAATAACGCAGACACTCCAGAATAAGTCATTGCCAAGTCGCGACAGAGAGGAATATATATTTTTAGCACTAGCTCTTTACCTATTTTCCCGAACTTCCGACTTTTCGATGTAAACCCCGCCCTCAAAACAATCCTCAATTCAAAACGTAAACAGGCTGAGACCATAATTATTATTTGATTTCGATTCGAAAATTATGTACCAAAATTGTTGAAAACGTTTTTATAATTTGTAAACTATTGTTTTAGACCATCATACATACATTACATTAAAAGAACTGTAAAAAACATATGAATTATCCATATTTCTCGTTTTGCTTTTGGTTTTATTTTCTTTTTTTTAGTTTTTTGCTTGCATAATCGACATGTGTGTGAGTAAGCCAGTGTGTGTATGCATAGCAACGCTTTTGTGTGTGGTTTTTAGGGGGTGGAAGGGGCGCTGTATAAAAGCACGCGGCAGTAAAAACTTGTTGACATTGGGAATAATAAACTAAAAAACGCAGATGGTAAAAAAAAACCTTCTTCAAAAGAAACTTTAACCCCTTCGTAACATCATAATTATCCGGCCAAAATACAAAGTTAAAAAGCCAAAGCATGCGGTAAATGTGTCTTGCTGAGCATTCGTGTGTAGTCGTTTGAAAATCTTCCAATGAGTCACCTTTAAATTGGCTTAATATTGCGATTAGGCCAGTTCAACCGGAATGTTTCTTGAAGTTTCTATATGTGCGCATAAACAAGTGATTGCGGTTTCTTATCAGCTTTTTAAACGACCTATAATATTAAGGTTGATGCAAATGTTTTGGTTTCTATCAGTTGGCGAGGTCATTTGCAGTAAGCTAATTCTATTAGGTCTGAGAAATTATAAGTCTTTAATTGATGTTTATTGGGGACCTATTGTTTTTTTATTTACTTTGATTTCTGACCATTTAAATTTGCCGGTTGGCCTGCCAACTCGTCTTTAATACACTCATACATACTTATACAATTTATAGTTAAGAAATATATGTACATATGGATGTCCATTTTCAAAAACTTTTTAAAATAAGCTTTGTTTTCAATGTGAAATAAAATTTCATTAATTAGCGTTCCAAAATAAAAAAAAAACCGTATGAAATAATTACCATAACAGCACTACAATAATAACTAAGAAAAGGTGTTACCAGACGGACAATAATGGTATCAACGGACAATGATATCAACAAGATCTACAATGTTTAAATGCTATTATTAGTTAAAATTCGTTTGACACATATAAAATCGAATTAATTTCTGTTTTATTAAATTGGTGTAAATTTCAAGAATTATTGTTATCCCACAACCACTGTAGCAATATTCAAGCATACATAATATACAGCGTTGCCAGATGTCGATGATAAACTACCGCCATAAACTCGAAAATGAAATATTTTCAATCTTTAATTGATTTTTAAAATTAAACATATTTTGGCTAACTAAAGAGTACGCATTTCCTTTTTACAAATGCTGCAAACTACCTTGCAGGCAACTCTACCCGACACAGGAGTGTCAACACGATGGAAAACTGGCGTTCCGACCACCGGAATAGTCCTTTTTTGTGGATTCATCCGTATATTGTTGGGCTTTCGTTCACTTTCCACACAACAGCAGAGAAGAAAACTCAGGGGCACCGCCTCACCTTCTTCCAAAGTCTGCGGAAGATTACGATTTCGTGTCTCCGGCAACAGAAGACTAGCGAAACCTCCCAGGATCAGCAGGCCTCCCATCACTATTAATGGTAGGACGACCCGAATCGAATCATCTCTACCATGAGCCGATAAATCATCTTTACCATGAATTGAAAAACCGTGTTGGCCCTGCAATGGAGAAAGATTGAGATATAAGGTAATCCCTAAATCCCTCCCCACTTACCATATGATTAATCATCGGTATAACTATAGGTCCAACCATGGCCACCACCGAACTGAAGCTCATGCCCAGTCCCCGCACCACCGTGGGATATAATTCCGATGCCAGGAGCGGCAGGACCACAAAGGACGAACTAATGCCCATCTTGCCTACGCAGTAGAGCAGCAGCGTAATGTCCGGATAGACGAACGTGGCCACGCAGGCCACTCCTCCCACCAGCATCGAAATAAAAAGGATCCAACGCCTTCCAAAGTAACTCAATCCCGGCCAGAGCAACAAATATGTTGGCAGTTCGACTGCCCCGGCCAAAAAGAAGTTCCAGATCTCATCCCCTCCAAGAGCTGGGGCATAGTAACTTAATCCAACGTAGACACTTGTGTTGGCAAACCAAATTAGGGTGATGATTAAGGTCTTACGACGCATATTGGGTCCCCGAAACAAGTCCAGAATGCCATAGTGAGTATTAGACGTTGATTCAGCTTCTGCAGCTTTTGAGCTAAACAATTTCCGCTGCAGGCGTTCCATAAAATCGCGATTCACACGCACACCATTCAATCTGGCCATGACCTTAAGTATTTTCGTGGCCTTTCTGGTTTTTCCCATGGCCATTAACCATCTCGGCGATTCTGGCAGCACGAAAAAGCAGGAGAACAGCATCAGCAGCGGCATGGACACAGCCAAACTGAGTTCTCGCCAATCCCGGACGACGTATACTACTCCGGCCAGCACCACCAAGCCCAAGGAATAGGCAATATTCGAGACGATTGTGCAGAACACTCTCTTATCCGGACCCACCAGCTCGATGGCCAGGACATAAGGACTTGCAAGGATTGCCGGTACTGTCAGGCCCACCACAAATCGCATGCCCAACCAGGTATAATAGTTCCAGGCGAAGGCACTTGCAGCACAGGCGGTAATCTCAAGCAGCAGATAGGCGTAGAAAGAGGGGCGCCGACCCCACAAATCAACTAGGTATCCAAAAACATAGTTACCCAAAAGTCCACCAATACCGAAGACAACCAAAGCCAGGGTAACCAGGAAGCTACGGTCGCAAACCAGGTTCCACTGCAAAAGGAATGTAGAGATAATATTTGTAAATAATACAGCTTAGAAATGTGAGTACGAAAAGATCTTAACGATGTAAAAATAAGTATAGTTATCTTTTGCATAGGGATGAAATATATACCTCTTGAACCACCGTACTGGAGTATATGGATTTATCGTAGTGCCAACCATGTTGACATGGCACCACTTGCGCCGTGTCGGGCTGCAACTTGAGCAAATCATCCGCCTGCTGACGAATCAAACTCGGAGGAGGGCGGTACTCCAGATAACGGACTATATCGCTGTAATTCCTCGCGTACATAGAACACTCGGCATAGGCTCCATTACGATTGCGAGGAATGCTCAAGTTCTTCACCAGCTGCACGTAGTCCTGCGTCCATGGCTCCAGCTCTGGAACTCGACAAAAGTGCTGTGGTGTGGCCGCTATAAACAACTGGCTGGAATATTATGTCACGTTATTTGGGTATTTATTAAGTTTTATCTCCAAAGGAAATAATAATTAAGTTTCATTTCAATTTTTGCTTATTAAGAAGGGTTACAACTCTTAAGAACTCAACCGGATTACGAACCTATAGGCGTGAAAGGCGCAGGGAAGAGCGGCTGGCAATAGAACCGTACATATGATGACTTTCTGGTATAGCCCAAAGGAGCCCACCTCCCGCAGCACCTCATCGAAATCCATGTCCGCCCGTTAGCCAGACGCTCGCACAACTGACGATCGCGCCGATCACCTTGTCCACATCCATTCCAGTCCAGGAACTGGTGGCGCAGCAGGGGCTGATTGGACATAATTACATTACGGCCACTCGTGCGCATTAATTAATTGGACACCGCGGCGTGGACAAGGTTCGAACTCGTTGAGCGCCCCAAACCCAACCAAAATCCCAAATCAAAGCGAGCTCTCGACTACGTAGGGTTAGTTAGTCGGTCTGTATTTCTTCATGTCTAAGGTGTAGCAGCACTGGGCACATAAAATTAAGTTACATATTTCTAAAACTGGAAAGGAAACTATAGATCATCATGATCTGTCTAATTGCGAGACAATCCGATGAGGGCCAGTATGTACATGAAGATGTTGATGATGTCCAAGTAAAGGTTCAGTGCGGCGAAAATGTATTCCTCCGGACTAATGGAGTACTTGTGATTACCGCCCAGCATTAACTGGGTATCGTACACCAAATAAACGGAAAAGAGCAACGCTCCCAGGGAGGCATAAACCATTCCGATCACCTTGCCCGGAACGAAGATAGCAACGATACCAAATATGATAAAGACCACTAAGCAGGCCACCAAAACTCCTCCGCACATCGTAAAGTCGTACTTGGTCTGCAGGGCAAACAGGGTGAGCGCAAGAGATACCGCTGCCGTGATGCCCACTGCCATCAGGACCTCACTGGCCTCGTACTGTCCAGCGACCATTCCTAGGAGGAAGGATTCGGCCACGGTGAACAGGAACAGGAAAATGAAATTCAGAGGTGTCTTTCGGCGTACACTTTCACAGCAGGCCATAGAAATCATGGTCACAATAAGAACGGCCTACAAAATATGGATTTAATGTTTAACAAAATAATTTAAATATAACTTCCTAAAACTCACCAAAGCTATCCAAAACAAAGCCGGATTTTTTTGAACCCATTCTTGAGAGGCTTTCGAGAAGGTGAAAACACTAACAAAACCGAAAGTGATTAGTAATTGACACTAAAAATAGAACAAATATAGATTAGTAAAACGAACAAAAATGTTAGTAAATGAAAAATATAAGGCGGATATGTATGTATATAATTTTTAAGTGATTAAAATGTTTTATTTATATGTTATATGTTATTTCTTATATGTATATTCTCCATATGAATATATATTTTTTTAGCCAGGAAATGGTACAATTTATAAGGAAGACGCTTAACCCTTCATTTAGATATTTTGTAAACAATATAGTTTAGAAAATATTGAATGAAAGAAACTTAAGTTTTAAAACCCCTTAGCAACTTACCATCAATATTAAGTAGACCTTCCGTATGAAGCCCTTCCGGATGCTTTGGTCATCGAAGGCGAAACTCTTGTCCGCCTCCGCATCTGTATATGCACCAGTTTCATCGCCTGCATATTTAGAAGACAAATTCAAGGAAATAGGAAAGTTAATACAATGACTAACCGTACTGAAAGTGGTTGTCGCTGCTCATGGCTAAATCGTTATGACTAAAGTTAATAGACTCTCTCTGACGGCTGACAATGTGCGTGTATGTCAGCTTAATGGAACCGAATGGCCCTTTCTAGGTGTCTCCATACGGCCGACAACTGCAGATTAGCCGGTACCTGACTCTTATCACAGGCATACACTCAAACTTCAGATAAGATTCCTATATTGATATGGGTGAGTAACTGATATTGCCACCAGACCATTTTCAAACACGTCTGTGCACTCTCCCTTTAAATGGTTTGTGAATCACAGCATTGGGACACATATAGAATCAATATATTTCCCGAAGACTTATCTGATGAAAGTTAGCCGCGAGTGATATATTTCTTAGTCTTTTACGGAGAGAACTTAATGCAGTTGGCTATATATGCTATAGCGCAGTCGATTATCTAATCTAATACACTTTTCCGCATTCAATTTCGACTGGTTTAGCCCAACCCGGGCGGTACTTACCTTGCTGGTAGTGATACATTTTATGGCTACGCCTTGCTGGAATTCACACGAACTACTGAACAGGTGGCCGGGTCAAAAGCATGCTATGGGACCAACCCGAAAATTAAAACACCCGGTCTGCAGATAACAAAGTAAACTTAAGTAATGATAAAGCAAAAGGTAGACGAAAGAAGGTCTACACTGTAGAAGTAATCCAACCAGACTGAAGTTGCATCTGATTGTGGCTAACTGACTGGTTGGTTGAACTGGATGAACCATTGGGAGAAGCCCTACAATGCTGAGGTCTGTGGCTGCTTTAATAAATAGATGCGCTTTATTGTTGACTTTAAACTCAGTGTCGCTGCACGGGTTACAATGTTCGGTACTTGATTCATAGTTGCACAAATCGGGATTCCTTGGTTATTACACACGGTTAAATGTTATGCTTTAACAACAACAGCAATCCATATTTCTTATATATTTTCACATAAATATTTTCATACGTGACTATTTATTTTGGTTTTTTGTGAATCTGAATGGTTTGGTATAGTTATTTTTTGAGTTTTTGGAAATTTTGAAAGAGTAACAAAATCACATGTAAACTAAGCAAGAATACAACGCGAAACATAATTAAATGACTTATTATAATAATTCATAACTTTAAAGATTGCCCCCACTGGAAAGGTAGTATTGAGATTACGCCACAAATATGTTGTTACTTTCGGTTAATGACTACACCGTTTAAAGCGAAAACACTTTTAAGAGTTAGAACGGAACTTAGTCGCGCGATGCGCCAATAATAGTCAGAATGTACATAAAGATATTGATGATATCCAAGTAAAGGTTCAGTGCGGCGAAGATGTATTCTTCCGGACTGATGGAGTACTTGTGCTCGCCGCCCATCATTAGCTGGGTATCGTAAATAAGGTAAACGGAGAAAAGCAACGCTCCGATCGAAGCGTACACCAATGTAATAATCTTTCCCTTAATGAAAATGGCCACTATGCCAAAGATCAGGAAAACCACCATGCATGCGATCAGAATCCCTCCCATCATAGTGAAATCGTACTTGGTTTGCATTGCAAACAATGTTAGAGCCAGACAAACCGCAGCAGTTATGCCCACTGCCATGAGTACCTAGAATTTAAATTAAGTTTTTTTAAAGGGAATTTGGTACAAACAGCTAAGTACTCACCTCCCGAGGAGCATATCTGGTAGCCGTAACTCCTACTAAAAATGATTGAGCTATTGTGAACAATCCAAGGAAAATAAAGTTGGTTGGTGTTTGGCGACGAACGCTTTCACAGCAAGCCATGGACAGCATGGTTACTATCATCACAGCAAATGCAACCCAAAAGAGCCACATGTTATGCCGGGCGAAATCCTTTGTGCCCTGGTGAAACACAAACAGGGCGACAGCTCCAAATGTAACGATGAGTTGTCCCTAAAAGAAAGGAAATCATTTACTTTACACACTATTTAGTGCGTGTCAACACACACTCACCATTAAAATCAGGTACACTTTTCTTATAAATCCACGCCGGATGCTCTGGTCATCGAAAGAAAAGTTTTTAGGTTGACTCTCTGGATCATCGTAGGCTCCATAGCCACCCGCTGATGGTGGCGGTTGAATAAATCCCGGTTGAGGCGCATAACCACCAGGCGGTGGCCCCTGTCCATAAGGATAGGGCTGCGCACCGCCCTGGGCATAAGGCGGATAGCCTTGCGGAGGTCCTTGCGGTGGGTATCCTCCCTGAGGCGGATATCCACCCCCGCCATATCCTCCCTGAGGCGGGTAACCTCCTCCATAATTGTACTGCTGGTTGGGATCTGTCGAAAAAGGCATATCTTTTCAGTTTAAAATCAAAGCAAGTGAGTCTGAACAATTTGTCTACCAAGAACTGTAAAACCTAAATGAAACGCTCTGTATAACGAAGATATGTGGGAAAACCAAGCAACAATCTCGAGCAAATATGCGTTTACAAACAACCATGATAAGAAGGGACAATAACTTTATGTAAAGAGAGAATTTGCGGAAATGAATCACAGGCCCTAGGGACGAACAAAAGCATGCGATCATAAACCGGGAAAGCAGAAACACTCGCTTAGAAGTCAAAAGATTGAACCTTGGTATTGGGGGTACTGGGGAACACTTTGCCAGGACATTCTCAAGGGACTTCGTTACCGCTGTGGAGTAAATGTAGATCTGTTAGTACGGCCTGTTCTCTTTTCACTCACCTTGCATTGTTTTGATGGTTTTTCTTTTTACCTGTAAAGATAGATATAGAGATGTCAACAAAGAATTAGCTAATTAAATTAGTAACCAAGAAATATATGTACATAGTTTCTAATTTCACTCTTTGCTGGCATGCAACTTTAATTATCAATCAATTTAGCACTTGCGTACTGGCTGGGAAATTTTTGTTTGTTGTGGCCAAATGACGTGTGCTTCTTCATCTATTGGGTGTGGGTAGTCCTAAGCAAGCTGGCTATTCCCAAGTGTACCTTTACTTTGACCCGCAAGTGTATGCGCTGCCTTAATCTAGTCACAGCTATTAAATTGGTTCAGCTGGATCACCACCATTGCAAAAAATACGTATGTACACAGTTAAATTGGTGACTCACTTATTTTAAATGTTCTCGAAATTTACGGGAAACTACACTATTATAAATACAATTGCCAAGACCTATGACCTTTCTATAAACGAAATTACACTACGTGAATGTATTATTACCTCTAGATCTCGTTTAAATTTTATCTAAACAAACAAATTAATGTTGTTTTTCTGAACAAATTTTTTTTATATATTACAGAGATGGAACTCTTGACTTATATCGAAATTTAGATGTAGAGAAGCGACAATCGACCATCGGGACATATTTTAAATGGAAGGTGAGAATATTTTCTCAAAATTAAAATGTTTACAAAAATCAAACTAAACAAGTTTTTAAAATATTTTATATGTGAAAATATTTGTTAGTGTTTAATATTATTTCTTAAATAAAAATATTAAATATAAAATATTATTTTGAGTCTACACAAATAAATTATTTATTAAATCAGTTGAACACATTAAGAGTTAGGATTATTTTTTCAAAGGAAATTAATTTATTTTTGAATATAATCAATCTAAATAAAATTATATTTCAGCACTTCACAGAATCGTACAGTAATTTTTGGGATGTTTGGAGTAAGTGACGCAACAAGCTAGGAATAGTCTTGTAATTAGCGGCACCCTAAAAACCGGCATGACACTTATCGATATGTATCATCGATATGCGCGATAGAAATACCAACACTGCACCGCGCGGCTGGCATGTGCAATAGTACACGACGCTCGTGAAATCTTTTCGTTTGTGTATTAAAAGGGCAAAATCTAGCTGGTAAGCCGAGTGCACTCGTATGCACAATTGAAATAATCAATAAGTGAAGAGTCATCAAGTGAGTGCCGTCGCTTATCCATCGCAATAGAGGCCTCAGTGTTTAGGTTATGTGCGAGCCGCTAGACACAAAGAGTTCGTCTCAGCCCCCGGATATATTCGATGGACATATGGTTTCTATGGGATGAGGTCGGGTGACTGAACTGCAGCCCGGAAGCCAATGTCATTTATTCGCTAATGGGCCCCCTTCATCTGCCAAGTGCTATTTATAAAATCATGACGCAACGCACACTCAATACTCCTCCTTTTTCGCCTGTTGCTTATCGGCACTTTGTGGTTTTTACGGTCTAGTTTTGTGGCCACCTAGTAAAGTATATACCCCTCCTATTCCTTTACAGCCGATTTTGTGCATTCCAAGATGGTCGAAGACAAGGAGAACGTTGCCAACGGGGAGCAGGTCTCTAAGAAGGGAGCCAAAAAACTGGCCAAGGCCGCCAAGGTGAGCATCTTTGATTTGCGGACGTGGCGTGAGCTTGTTTTATTTTTATTTTGAACCTCTGATAACAGCTCTCTAATCTCTATCCGTACAGAAAGCCGAACAGAAGGCAGAAAATGCCTCTACTGTGGCAGCCAACAATGCAGGCGGAGATTCTGCCGAGGATCACGCCGCCGGAAGATACGGTCTCTCCGAGATGATTCAATCCAAGGATAAGCGTAGCGAAAGGAATTTTGTTCCTGTTTTTGAACTGAGTGGCCAGGTGGGCAAAGGACTCGTCTGGGTGCGTGGACGCGTCCACACATCCCGAGCTAAGGGCAAACAGTGTTTCCTTATCCTGCGCCAACAGAGCAGCACGGTGCAGTGCATCCTGGCTGTCGGCGATGTCATATCCAAACAGATGGTCAAGTTCGCGGGAAAGTAAGTCATTATATTTTTTGTCAATTTCTTATTAATGGTATAAGCTTTAAAAAAAGCAGATCGATATAAAATCGAAATTGCTGTAGTCATATAGATAATTACAACACCCACATTGATAAGATAGTAATGTTAAGAAATATCACTACGAATTTATCGCAACCTAATTAAGCTGTTCCCCTTATTAAACAGAACACTAAAGCTTTTTCCATTTTTCAGTATTCCCAAGGAGAGCATCATCGATATCCAGGCCAAGGCAGTGGCGGTGTCCAGTAAGATTGAATCCTGCACAGAGCAAACGCTGGAGCTATCTGTCGAACAGATATTCGTGATTTCCCAAGCGAAGGCTCAGTTGCCATTGCAGATCGAGGATGCCTCGCGTCCCGAGATTGCTGATGATGCGGAAGGTCTGAACATTCGCGTTAACCAGGACACGCGCCTGGACAATCGTGTACTGGACTTGAGGACTCCAGCAAATCAGGCCATATTCCGTCTAGAAGCTGGAGTGTGCCGCCTGTTCCGTGATATCCTCACCGAGAAGGGCTTCACCGAGATCCACACGCCCAAGATCATTTCGGCAGCCAGTGAGGGAGGCGCCAACGTGTTCACCGTGAGTTACTTCAAGGATTCGGCTTATCTGGCGCAGTCACCTCAGCTGTACAAGCAAATGGCAATTGCTGCTGATTTCGACAAGGTCTACACCGTAGGCGCAGTTTTTCGGGCGGAAGATTCCAACACTCATCGCCATTTGACTGAGTTTGTGGGTCTGGATCTCGAAATGGCTTTCAAGTACCATTATCATGAGGTACTACACACGATTGGCAACACGTTTACGGCCATTTTCAAGGGTCTGCGCGACAAGTACGCCAAAGAGATAGAATCTGTTGGCCAGCAGTACAAGGTGGATGCCTTTAAATTTCTGGAGCCTCCACTAATCCTTCAGTTTGCCGATGGTGTGGCCATGTTGCGTGAGGCTGGAGTGGAGACGGGCGACGAGGAGGATCTATCGACGCCCAACGAGAAGCTGTTGGGTCGTTTGGTCAAGGCCAAATACGACACTGATTTCTATATCCTTGACAAGTTCCCACTGGCGATACGACCGTTCTACACAATGCCCGATCCGAACAATCCCGTTTACTCCAATTCCTATGACATGTTCATGCGTGGCGAGGAGATCTTGTCCGGGGCGCAGCGTATCCACGATCCCGAGTACTTAATGGAGCGGGCCAAGCACCATGGCATCGGTGAGCATTCCGTAGATATAACTGTGATTAAACACATGTTGGGTATATTTTTATATATATATTAAGTAACTTAAGGTAACTTCTACTCGAGAGCCTTTAAGGTCAGTCAGTCACAAGATCTCGAAGTAAACAATGATTAGAACGCAATGAGTAAATAATATAAATATCTCTCAAGTGCTAATTCATAACTATTGCACTCGTATGATAAGCGATATCTGGTTTAAACTTGTTTAACCGTATATATAAAAAATTTAATTTATATATTTTAGATACCTCCAAGATTGCGGCGTACATCGAGTCCTTCCGCTATGGATGTCCTCCGCATGCTGGCGGTGGTATTGGCATGGAGCGCGTGGTGATGCTGTATCTGGGATTGGACAACATCCGCAAGACTTCCATGTTCCCACGTGATCCTAAGAGGTTAACGCCTTAAACACGCCAAACTCAAAAAACAACTCTACTCTTTAGATGTGAATTAAATTCGATGAAACAATTGTTTTACTTTCCCTGTGACTTTCCAAGCATTCAGTTCTTTTTATTATTTTTAAACCGAACCCATTTTGTGTTTTTTTCCCATTTCTCAAAGACTAACATGCTGCAGAGTTGTTAAACAACGAGAAAAATGTACGAGAAGACTGCCTAGAGTCAAATTTATTTGGAAACTCGTAAGAAAATAAATATTTGCGCGTATGTTTTGTACTTTAATATTTGACTTTTATTTACTAGTGGTTGATTATTTGGATGGTGGAATCGGAGTATTTTGTAAAATTGTGTTGCATAGTTTTGGGAGCTGTTAAAAGGAGGGATTTTATGGAAGCGATTGAGATTCCGATTTTTACTTAAAATAATAATAAGTAAAATTAGTAATAATTTAAATAGATAACTTAAAAGGGAAGTAAAATCATTTTTATTGAAACCATTTACATATATCTTAAACCAAAAAATGTATCATTTTGGATTCCAATTATAATTCCAATGGGAGCATATATGGGCAATGCATTTTCTAATTAGATTTTTTTTAATAGTTGAACAATTTTTCGATCTTTATTAATTTTACTTATAAAAATGAATTGGTAAGGAATTTCAACTTTTGATTGACAAATTTTAAAGAGGGAAAACTTATGCTATTAATAAGGGAAAGGTCCAAAAATAATATATTTTAGTTAGGAGCAGCGAACATTATTAATACTGACTTATAGTTTGAAGATTTCCGACAGTTGCTGAAAATCTAACAGATGAATCCTTTCCGAAAATGCCGTCGGTCTTTTTAAGGTTTTATTATGAGTTTTAACAGGTGTTGGCAGGTGATTACTGTCATATAATAGGGATAATTTAAACAAATTTTTCAAACAAAAATAATATGTAAATATCTTAAGGTTCATTTTAGGTTTACTCTGTAGTATTTGTAAGATTCACCTGAGTGTATCTGCCACTTGATAACCTCCAGGAGATATATACAACATTTTTTTCTCAGGTTCCTATCGTGCAACTAACAATTAAAGGAGTAGTAAGCCCGTCTTTCACTTTTTTTTTTTGTAAACATCCGCACCTTGTCAGCTGACAATCTACAGCGAAGTAAAGGCGAATGAACAGCACAATAAATTGTATTCATTTGCAATCAGATTATTATCAATACGACGGAAGGGGTTTTTTCTCGAATGAGGGAGGGGTTTTCGAAGGGGGTTGGAAAAACAAGGACTGCGGGGGCACTGCAAACACTGTTGACACAGTTGGCGCATACTTTTCATTGCGGAAAGTAAAGGAAATGAAAGGATGGGAAACGAAAGGAAAGGAGAGAGAGGGAAGAGGGAAGAGGGAACTAAAGGACGAGAAGAACAGCCCACGGATGAATGCGAATTCCATTCAATCTGTTTTGTCGAACTTTAAAATCAGAGAGAAACAGCAGGAGTTTTCGTCTACTTGAGGACACACAATTGAGACGCACTCCATTTTATTTTCACACCGATGTGGCATCGTTAGCTGGAACCTGGAAACAACAACAATACCAATAACAGCAACAACAATAACAACAACATACAAAGCTGAAAAGCTGCGGCAACAGCTATCAAGTGGGCGGTGCTTGGTTACTCAAGCACATAGAGTTGTCTCACTCGCACTGCAACCAAACAACTAGCGAGCAAGCGAGATCGACTGATATAAGAAATTGCCATTTTGTTTTCAATGCTGCGTCGACTGAGCCGCTAGCTGCGCTGCTGGCAAATGCATTGGTTTTACCGCTCCTTTCGCCAGTTTGTTTTTTCTCTTCCGATTGAGCGGAAGTTGTTCTTCTCTCTCCGCCGCGCGCGTTTGATTTTCGAATATTCGATTTTCAACGAGAACGAGAACGAGAATTTCGAAACAAAATTACAACGAAATTTAAGCAAAACAAAAATTTTCAGTGAGCGATCGCGGCAAGTGCAGTTCATTTGTTTTCCAAGTGCCACATCGCAAGAATACAAAAAGTAAAAAAAAAAAGTAAAGAAAAGAAAAGAAAAATATAAGAAAATAAAAAAATTCAAATAAAAAATAGAGATTGCAATTGCCAAAACAGTGTACGTTCTCTTTCCCGCTTCCGCTCTGTCCCGCACTATACATATATGTAGCAATCTCTCTCGCTCTAACTCACACTCTTCAACGGGGCCGCCAAGAATTTATGGAATTTGGCATTTTGTGGATTTAGCGAAAATATTTTCATTGAGTGCGCGCCGGCCGAATGTTTGCTGCTCGTTTTCGTTTCAAAATAATCGCAGGAAAAGCTGCGATCTCAAAATCTCAACTATTCACGTGCAAATTCCCGCTGCGTCTATCATTTTAATTACAATTCAAATTAACGACAACAACAAAACGATAATAACATAAATTATCTGTAGTTAATGCCTTTTGCATTGAGAATTGTGAAATTGTTGAATGTTTTCCAAGTAAAAGTGCACTGTAACGAAATTTCTGTTGCTTTACGTTAGCTAAGCTGTAAAGATTGTTGGATTACGATAAAAACTTTTAAGAGGTAAGTTGAGAAGGCAGATTCTGTAGTTCTTATTAGATATAATGATGTTCCAATAAGAAGAGCATTGGCTATGATTCAAACTTGTTTGCAGATCTCTTTCTTCACCCAAGAAAAGCATTAACCTTTAATCTTTTTTTTTATTATTTGCTTTTTTACATTGTTTTAGCTTGTTTTTAGCATTCAATTTGCTGTTCTATAGGTTAAATCAGATATTTTTATATAACTTACTTACCAAAAGAGGTAAAACAAATAATGTATGCATAATTTTACTAGTTTAAAGTCTCTTAACCCATCAACCTTCATTACGTTTTAACTAACTTTTAATGGATTTTCAGTAAATTATTGTTTCTAGCACTTTTTTACCCTTATTAAAGTTTATTTTTAGGCAATTTTATATTTTTATTGATGTACCAAAAGGTTTTATCTTATTTTCTGTCAATAAAAAGCTTTATTTTTCTAAAATAAAATCTTGAAATTTTGTTATGAAAATTTAAATAAAGTTTTTTGTTAATTTAAAGGCATTTTAGAACATAGATGATATTTTCATATACCGACGGTTGATATTTTAAAAAGTATTTAGATGCCGTCGGTTCTCGTTTTTACTAATTTACAGAGATTAAAGATTAAAAAAAGCTTTTTAAAGGCATCAATTTATAGGTTATCCTAACTATTAATCTATAGAGCAATGATTTTTACAGTAAATGTTAATTTACATGATGTGAGACTTCTGCAGACTAACTTTACAGACTTGCCACTGTTTTTTAAGGGAAGCTTGTTTCTTAACTTTAACTATATAGTTGTAAAACTTGTAACTTATTTATTAAACTTATTTCATGACTTACCGACGGAGTGTATAGAAACAAGTTTATATTATAAACTTTGCCAAAATCAACCATTTAAAACACATAAAACTTTTAATGAAATTCCAACCAAATATTTTGATAGTTCATTTCCTTCGATTTTCATTTCGTTAATTACTTATAATTTAGTTGTGAAAGCTACTTACTTAGTTATTTATTTTTTATGGCCATTTCGAATCCTTGTTCATTGCTAGTTTACATGCAACTTAAATTTCCCCACACTTTATGCTTCGCAAAATCCCATCATTAAAGCCGCCTTTAACATAAATGCCAGAAATTGGCTTTCAGCTTTTCAGCTTTTCAAATTTCTTGCCACAATTAGCAAATTGTTAATGCCTTCTCCTGCACTTTTCTTCATTTTCCCTTGCAGTTGGCCATTCTTCTGCAGCGGCGGAAACGCGGATGAGAAACGAAATTGACGTTCCAACGCCAAAGGGAAAAACAAACAAACAAAAAAAAAAAAGGCAAAGCAAATAATGGAAAACAACTACTAACTGCAATCAACAATGTGGAAATGATAATTGCAATTGCCTGCAGAAGCAAACAAAGAAGAAAGTTCGGCGAGAGCAAAGAGGGGAAAGGAAAACTGAAGGAAAACTCCCCACCAATGGGAATGGCAAATGAATAGAAGAAAGAAGTTAAAAGTTAAAAAAAAAACAAACAAACAAAAAACAAAAAGAGAGAAAAGCAATTATAGCTCTTGATACAAACGCGATGGTGTTTTACAATATGTAAATATAATTAGCCGAGCGGAGTTTTCATTCCTGGAATTTTGCCAGCCAACGAAACAAATAAATACAGCTACTAAAAAGAAAAAACAAGACTAAAAACCAAGCCGGTTTTATAATTACTCTTCAAACTCACCTCTCTACTGTTCCCTCTCTCTTTGCTATCTCTCCCTCTCTCTGGAGAGAATTCCTATACCCGATACGATCCAATTACAAATCCAATTGGAACTACGGTCTTATTGGCATCACAATTTCCCCGTTTCAAGTGACAATACCAATTTAACTACCATTCATCGTTGCAAAACCGCAAAAACAGTGTCGCAGTGTTAGTGAGTGTACGCGCCAGTGTGTGTGTGTGAGTGGCAGTTGCAGTTGCAAGTGCGCTTGCCACTGCGACAATGGCAGTGTCCTGCCCCGAAGTTATGTACGGTGCCTACTATCCATATCTGTACGGGCGCGCTGGACCAAGTCGATCGTTTTATCAGTATGAAAGGGTGAGTACTTCTCCTTTCTATCTATCCTATTCAAATTAATTATATATAAAAATATATATATAAAAAGCAGTATTGGAAGTGTTTTAGATTTAAAAGGGAATTTTTAGAGTTTAGAAATTGGAAGAGCAAACAAAACTACAGTTTAAAAAAGACAAAAAGTTGGAACTGGAAATTGAAAAATTGGTCTATTAAAAATCAGCAGAAGAGTTAAATCTTAATAGGTCTTAAAATCAAAAGAAGGTTTTAATTTTATGTATTTTATACACAGATTAATGATGCTCAGTGTAGACCAGATACTTCTTATCTAAAGTTTGTATTTACATTATGTAGTAAATATCTGTTTTGGATATAGTTTTTGGTTCCTTCATTAAAGAATATCTAAAGTTTCTCTTAAAGCAGTAAATATGGATACAACTTTACATCGAAACCATAAAAGAAGTGTCTAATATTTGGCAAATACTTTTAGAAACATATTTTTCATAGAAAATATAGAAGATCATATTAGGGTAGTGATTTCTCTATACTTTTTCTCAACTTTCCAAATCACAAAATGAATTTCCTGGGCCTGTTAAATATCTTATAATCTAGATTCTATCAGTTTTTAAACATTTTTTCGATTTCCAACTTTACTTTTTACATACAAGTTTTTACTTTGTTAAGCTCTACTATTTAAACTATATCTTCTGTGTATATCTAAAGTATCTACCTAAATTAGATCCGTTTTAGTTAGGATAAGTTAGACAAGCTCATAGAAACTCTATGATATTATTCCTTAAAACTCAGCTGTAAACAAAGTTAGTAGAAACTTGAAACTGAAATGGAAGAAGGGTTTATAAGTTCACAGACTTATATAAAGTTATATGAAAATATATACTATAAAGTTAAAATATAATCATCAGCAATAAACATTTACTGGCGATTAATCAATTGCCTAATGAAAAACTAAGCTGAAATCTCTTAACAAAAGCCTCTAAATTAGTTGTTTAGACATTTTAGGCAAGACGAAAGCTCAGCTTTAGGCCAGGTAACTTAAGCTGGTAAAGCACGTAAAAATAGGTGTTAAAAATTTCCTAAACATTGAATTCCATTCTCCTCATTTAAATTCCTTAAAAGTTCTAGAAATTTGTGGCATGAGTTGTAGACTTACGACGGGTTTTTGAATTTCTTAAAAAGATAAAAACCGTTTAAAAAAAGTAATAAGTCTTTGGAGTTTAAACTAGTTACCTAAGAAGTTGATTAGGATTTTAAATAGTTACATCTATTAAGCAAAATTGTTTTGCTTTGCTAACTTAAAAAGATATTTAGGTTTTTATCAAAACAAAATAAGGAAACATTTCTGCTTTGACTATCTAATGTTGTCTAAACCAAGAAACTACGTAAACGCCTTCTTTTAATTGCAAGAAAATTAACAGAAAAATTCTATTAAAAATCCTTCTACAAAATAAACTTTAAGCATTGCTTATTAAAATAAAAAAATAAACAAAAAAACAATTAAACCCCCCGCAGTATCTGTCACAAACTGGATTTCCCTTAATGTAAACGCAAATTTGTGGTAGCCTTACATGAGATGAGACTGCTTTGCATAAGCAGCCACACCGAGAGGCCATAAAAGCGAACCACGAAACGTTTTGTTAAGATTCTTGTTTATTTGTTTTCATTTTGGCCAGCAAAGTGTACTCGTACTTGGTTAAAACAAGTTTGGGGACAGCTTTAAAAAGGGAAAGCACCAACGACGACGACGATGATGAGTCATTCTGTCTGCTCCTCTTTTTTGTTAATGCCTTTTTGCTAGGACCCACAGCCAAAGCCACATCCCTGGCTGATTGATGGCTCTCTTCATTTTTGGCCAAGGCCAAAAGCCAGCTACTGTTGTTTTAGCCATGCCAGCTACTCCATCAATTTGTTTCGACCCGCTCCGAGACTGAATAATTAGACGTTTCTAACAAATCATAAGAATTCACGCAGAACGCAAATCGATTTGGGAAGCCCAAAACCAATAAAGGGGCCAACAAAAAAAAAGAAAGAAAGAAAGAGGCAAATTTTAAAACAAAAAACATTTCAAGGAATTCCATGGGCTTTGTCTTTTTGGCCTTTTGCTAACATTGATTTCAAAGATTTCGCTGTGATTTCTGTGACAAGTACAGAAAAGTTCTCACGATCTTGGATGGCTTGGCTGGTCCTCGCTCTTGACCAGGGTCCAAAAACTCCGACAGACTCTACGAGACGGCAGTTGCCGTTGTCGCTGGGGCACAAAGAAATTCTTGTGTCGCAAGTTCCAATTATACAAGGCCGCGGCACCAAATCGAAATTGGCCTTTTATGTAAGTAACCGATACGACACGATTCTGATTCTATGCTTTTGCATGCCCATAAAAGAGGGACCGCGATAAACCCTACAGCTCTTGGCCATATATATATATATATATCTTGGGTTGTCCTACAGCTCCTCCAGAAAGCCAATCCTCCTCCAATCGCAGATTGAGTCAGCAGCTTTAGCCTCTCCAGCTGGATGACCGGTTTATTTCGTCCCAAAAACGCACATTTTCCCGTCCGCCCTTTCAACACTTTAGTTAGCCTCCATCCCAAAAAAATACAAAAAAAAAAGTAAAAAAGTTAAAAACAAAAACAAATAAAAACCTTGGACCTTTGGGTTAATTTATTGTGTGTATCGCCATTAGTTCTTGCCGATCTTGGTCTCCACCATAACATAACCATACCGATTCGATCCTTTTGGGCCTTTTGTCAACCGATCGCAGATAAACCAGGGAGCTCTGAACTGAAAAAACTAAAACAAAACCCAACGAAAAAAGTTCAATTTTGGCTCTGAAAGTTTGTCGCTGGTTCGTCTGCCGTTTTCTGGTGATTTATGCCGTGTGATCGAAGGCCTGACTGCTCGGCATAACCGACATATCGCCTGCAGCTAATAACGCTGCTGCAGATTCAGATACAAATACACGGAGAGAATTGAGTTGTGGGAAGGTTGATCTGTGATATCAGTTTGACATTGGATAATTTGGATAATTTAATTAGGAATAATTGTTGGTGATTTTGCTGTGAAATGGGTGGAGAAGAAGAGGGCGTTCAGCTTGCTATTTCTACTTACTATTCTGAGTAGTTTGTTTTCTGTGTTAACTTAACTTGTTAATTTAACTTATTAACTGATTAACTGATTGTTAACTAACCTATATCTATTCAAGTAACCTATTCGAAAGCTTTAATAAAAGCAGTTTGACTATGACTTACAGTCTACTAGTCTTTATCTTAGGTTCTTAAGTCACTGAGATTCAGCCTTCACACTGACCTTTTTTCTGATAATTTAGGTGCTTGAAGACCAAGAAAATTGATCATAAACCCTTTTAAAATATATATTAAACATCTTATTTAAATAATCCATCATCTTTCTTTTTTAATTCTATGGGTTTGGTTACTTTTTCTCAAGCCTAAGGCAAAAGGCAATAATGTAAGGAAAAGTGTAAGGAAACTTTCAGCTCAACGCCTAGAGAAAGGTTATCATGAATAATAAATCAAACTAATACTAACTAGATCTCAGTTTAAGCTTCCTTTCAGGTTCCTTTAACTTCTTAATCTTCTTACTTAGATAGTTTCTTTTACAATTTTCATGATTATTTAACTAAAGCTAAAACTTAGTTCCAAACTATGAGATCTAAGAGACAGAAAGAGCTAAGAGCCATAGGATCTTAGGCCTCATAGACTTCAAGTTAAAACATAAAATACCTGAAAAATTCACAGAATTTTGGAATTTTCCCAGTGTACCACCGATTCCCCTACAGATACATCTGCCGATGCGGCTGCCTCTTTGTCCTCCTTGTATCTGTATCTGCACATTGTTGCTCCTACGCTACTGCACTTTGGGCGACGTTTCTCGCAACTCGTGAATTCCGCCTCCAATTTGGACTGTCGTCGCTGATAGTGTTGGCCGATAAGGCGGAACGCATTGATTATGTGCTTAAGCCAGGTGACAGATGCAGATACATGATCTTGCCACATATTTGCGGCAAGTGCCTGTGATGCTGCACCTTTTACGCCGCTTTCGCTGTATCTCAATCAATTTGTATCTTTTCGACTATTTAGCAAAAGTTTCTTTCAGCTGAGTCAGCGCTTTTTCTCTAATTAAGTGGCTAGCCGCCCGCTAGAAAACGGGGCCAGCTGTTGTCTCTGCAAGATACTCAATGCTGGTCGTAAATCAAAGAGACTGTCAATGCCCCAAGATGCACACTCTGTCAAATGGTTCGTGCCCGGTTAACCCATTATTAACCCTTAGACACCATCATAATTGGCATGCGCCAGATCGAAATGGAGCAACGCTTCGCCTCGCTTGGTTGCAAGTTGAGATACTTAAATTTAGAAAACCATTTTTCGGGGGCAGCATTTTCCATTGGGGTTATCTTTTAGGGTGCCACTCTAATGGGCTCATTAGGAGGGGAAATGGTCGAAGGTGTTGCTCGTAAATCGTCGCCAGCGCCGCATTATGTTTGACACTCCGCTAAGCTGGAGATTGTGGCGTGATTATCTGGTCTTCTGGCCGCCACCGCTCTCCTATTTCAGTGCCACCTCTTGCAGTCTCCCTTGTTTGCCCCTTAATACCATCCCAACCCGTATCATTCAACCTTGGCCCGAGTCCGTGATAATATGCGCCAAACGCTCGTAAATTTAATGGCCTCACTCGCGTTTTCCATCAACATAAATTTTCTTATTGTGTCATTTTCAATTTGCTGCAAGGCGTCTCATAACTCATTACTTGCCAGGCAACCTTTTCGGGGAATATGACGGGGATACATATTATATTATATAAGTTTCACATATATAGTTTGCAAAGAGGAAGGTAACAGGGTTATCCTCTAATCACTTTTGATATATAGGGGAATTCTTCAGGGTTACCCTCTTAGAACTACAGAAATGGAGTTTGCCAGAGGAAGCTTGGTTAGAGTTATAAGAAGCCATCAATAGCTTGAAGTTTTCCTGAACTAAAGTGTAGTTTAACTTGTTTTATGAGCATATATTTACGAAAAAAGATTATTAAATTAATAATGAATCGAACTCTATATAAAATTCTTGAAAATTTGCCTAACTAAGCAGAATAAATCTTTAGAAATGGAATTTCATTCAAAAGACTGGAAACTCACTCGTTTTTCATGGAGTTTTTGCTATTCTTTTAGTCATTCGTTTAGTTAAGTAAGTAACTATCTCATAACAACTTATAAAATAATAATAAATAATAAGTCAACTTAAAAAATAATCAGTTCTTGAACCTTAGTGTACAGTTTTCCCATTTTCTAATAGGTTCTTTCAAAGAAAGAAATTTTTTAGAAAGACAAATAGTTTCCAGGACGCTTAGTAAGTTTCATTACGAAATTAAGTTAGTCTGGGTAAACATTTTTACTTTATCAAACGTAATTTATAGATAATATGTGAAAAAAGTTTTTATACAAAAAGGAAAAATCTGTAAACTTAAGGGCCAAATCTTGGGAGTAGAAGTTTAGAAGATGAAAAACCAAAACTCACCTCATATCATCGAAAATGATATTCCTTATTAGATATAGGATATTAGATATTATATATTAATACTAATTTTAATATAAAACAAATAACAAATTTTAAACTAAACCCCTCTTTCTACCACTTCCAGTTCAACCAGGACTTGTACTCCTCCTCGGGCGTCAACTTGGCCGCCTCATCGAGTGCCTCCGGCAGCTCCCACTCGCCCTGCAGTCCCATTTTACCGCCTTCGGTGAGCGCGAATGCCGCTGCAGCGGTGGCAGCAGCTGCCCATAATAGTGCAGCGGCAGCCGTGGCCGTAGCAGCCAATCAGGCCAGCTCTTCAGGCGGTCTTGGCGGTGGCGGTGGCTTGGGCGGTTTGGGCGGTCTAGGCGGTGGACCGGCAAGCGGACTACTGGGCAGTAATGTTGTGCCCGGCAGTAGTAGTGTGGGGAGTGTAGGGCTAGGCATGAGTCCGGTATTGAGCGGAGCGGCAGGACACTCGCTGCACAGTTCGCATAGGACGCATGCCCACGCCCACTCCCTAGCCCATGCACACACCCACCCGCATTCGCATACACACACGCATACGCACCAAACCAAAGAAGAGGATCTCATCGCAACGCGCAGCGAAGCTGAAGGTGAGTTTGGAATCTCTTTATACAAGTTTTACTGTATTATATTATGAAATTTTTAGAGGTTAGGTTAGTCTGTATGTAAAATTGAATGGGTTGCTTAACTATTTCCTTTCTGAAAGTTGACAGCTGTAAATCCTCTCTTCTCTCTTTGAGCTCTCACGGCGATATTACACTAACAATTTTTCGTGCTCCTCTTTCCGACTCATTCCATCGCTAACTGTAAAATAATTTGTTCTTGTTTCTTCCTCGATCATCGTTCGGACACTTACACTGGAATTCATTCCTTATAACTTCTGTTCGCTCTTTAGAGTTTTTTTCGCGGTAGACATTTCGGCAGGTCAGTAAAATGAGCGATGAATTGGTTAGCGAAAAAGAAGTAATTTTCTTTTTATTAGTGTAAAGCTGTAAGCTGTGACAGTCTTTCTTGTGTTTGTGTTAGTAAATGCTCTGCCGTAAGTCGAGTTTGAGCAACCCTGATATAGAATATACGGTTAATATGGAAGGATATTGCTTTTGCCTAGAAGTCTAGCTGGAAAACATAGATTTATGAATGATATATAGTTCTTTCTGTGTTTTTGGTTAAATATTATTAAAGATCGTTGTTACCCAAAGTAGAAAGCATAGAAAGCTATTGAATCTTCTTCTTTCTGAAACTTCAAAGTTAATAAGTAAAGATATTTATTTGTCTCCCTATAAAGTTAGTTTGAGTTAATATCTATCACTTAATACTAGCAATAACTTGATCAGATTTTACTAGCAAAACAATATACTTCAAGTTAGAATGAAATACTATATATAAACCTAAGGAATATATCAATACATTCTCTTTAATTAAGAACTTACTGCCTTGTCTGCTGAACTAAAAACAGTTCACATCCCAAAGGTCAAGTTAGAAGCCTAGCTAGCTGGATTAATTAATAATTCATCAAGCAACTAACTTTAATACATGACTAAGCCCATAAATTGAATGGCTTTTACTGTGCGTGTTCATTTCTATTGTCAATGTCAGTTTGTTTGCCTAAGCTTTTATATTTTGGCAGCACAATGAAAATTCATCCAAATGAAAAGCTAAAATGAGGGGGGAGGGGAGCGGCAGATAGCCATCGCACATTCGTAGCTAATTAATTTGAAAATTCTTGAAATTTCCAACGAAGCACTCGCATTCCCAACCAGTTAGCATTCAATAAATTATATCATATTTTCCCCGTTGGCTACTCACTACAATTTTCCGATTATTTAATAGTTTTCCTCTCTTTTCTTGCCGATTTTCCAGCACGCCTGGTGGGCTCCCAACAACATCAGCATCATAACGAATCATCCTGCTCCTCCGGTCCGGATTCCCCGCGCCACGCCCACTCGCACAGTCATCCGCTTCATGTGGGCGGCGGCGGTGGTGCGACGGGCGGACCTTCATCAGCGGGCGGAACGGGTTCGGGCGGTGGCGATGGAAGCGGCGGTACAGGAGCTATACCCAAGAATCTGCCAACGTTAGAGGCACCAATGGGAAGTGGAGGCGGCGGAGGTCTGGGCGGTAGCGGCCAGGGACAAGCTCAGTATCTATCGGCCTCCTGCGTTGTGTTCACCAACTATTCGGGCGACACGGCCAGCCAGGTCGACGAGCACTTCTCCCGCGCCCTCAACTACAACAACAAGGATGCTAAAGGTAAGGTCTAGCATTAGAAAGGGAGTTAGTGAGGGAGTTTGGGGGAGGAAAAGTGACGAATAGGTACACTTTCAAGGATCAATCGAGTTTCTAGTTAAGCTAATGAAGGGATTTCGGCGGCTATTCGTCATTTTTCAGTTTAAAACTTTTTAAAAGTTAAGTTCATAAACAAGAAAAGCTTAAAAATATCTCAAAAATTAAATGCTAATGCAAGATATTTCTATTTATAAATACAAAAAGCTGTTCTTTGTTTACTTTTCCTGCTTTTTTTTTGGCAACATCAATCAAAAAATATTCCCAAAAAACAAAACAGACTTTCTCTTTGTTTGTTTTTATTTTCAAAATTAAGTTAATCCACTGCCTTAGAGGTACATATATTTTCTCCCAGTGCTTAAACTTTGCCACATTTTTTAAAAACAAATCCCTGATGTGTATTAGTAGGAGGATAATCAGCTTGTTTTCCCGGCTCCCACTCCCCAGTTCGCTCCACTTTCCGACTCATTTGCGGCTCCAGCGTGTTGTGATCAAAGAACCGCTCGTGTCATGTACTTGTCCCGCCTGTCAGTTTGCGTGTTTGCCTCGATTTGCGGCAGTGTCCCCTTCCCCCTTCCAGAAGGGGCATAATTAGGTGAAAAATAAACGCCAGCAGTTCCAGCAAAGTTATTAAAATGTTCTCGGAAAATTTACAACAGGCAAATTATGCCCTGTTTGTGTGTGTGTGGGAAATCTAATAGTTACAGAATTTTCTCTATGTTAAGTGGTCTAAACAAGTTTTTCTTCTACTCGATAACTTGATTGATGACCTTGTATCGATGAGGGGGAAAATATTTTGGTTAGTGTGTGTAAACTTTGAGAGTGCAAAAATATGGTTAGGAAAATATGCAGCACGCCCCCAGAAAACGAAGGAAAAGTTGATATAAGAAATCAATAAATTCAGAGAGCTTAATCAAGGGAAAAGTGCTTTGCCTTATAAGCTTAATTTTAAATATTTTTCACACTTAAAAAGCCATAAAAATGAGCTGTAAATTATAATTTTCATTAAGAGATTGCCTTTTAATCCATCTTTCCTGGCGAAAACTATTCGAAATATTTAAATTTAGTATAGAATTCAGCAAAATGCCCCCTTAATGCTCTCCTCCCTCCGATGTCTGCGAATGCGAACACTCACAGAGGCAGAATAAAACGTATAAATCAAGTTGCCACTTGCCACTCGCTTGTTCTTTCGATTTCAAAATTAATTACCTCCTTTAATGAAGATAAACGTTTCGTTTGTTCATGCCTGTCTGTTTTGCCTGTCTCTCTGCTATATATATATATATCTAGATGGGTATATACCCCAACATGTGTGTAAATTTTCCCTCTCTTTTTTTTTAATTTTTAATTGCCTGAATTGCAGTTTTCCTCAGGCATAACGCCTTTAGCCTTGTGTCAAGTGAAGATTTTCATTATGACCATCTCGCTGGGGCTTGTTAATTTCTCTCTATTGCTCAATCAATCAATTATCTAAGCATTTGAATGCCAGGCAGGTGTTGCCAGTTTGTACGGCCGTAAATGCTAATGCTTAGTACGTGTCCCGCCCACTAGGTGGTGTGCTATTCCCCCACCTCTCTCTCTTTGTGGCTTATTCCTTTTTGCCACACCACCAATTGCAGTTAAACCTGGGATTTTATTGAGTTTCTGTGGCTGCCATTTCCTCCAATTTTCCTCTCCCCCCTCCTCGCTTTGAGCAAATGCCACCACCACTTTGATTTTGTGCGAAAATTCAGTTTCCCTTCGATTCCCCACCATTCGTTATGCGATAATTGGAAATTTTCCGCTGGCTGCTTAACTACCAATTTACAGTGATTGTTTTTCCCAAAATTTAAAATAAAGTTGGGTTTCTGGTAGGGGTAGTTAACAGGTAAGCAAATACTAACTAAAAGAGGAAGTAACTTGGCTTAAATTGAGGTTTTAACCAATTTTATTTGTTTCTAATTTAAGGCTGATGTAGCCTAGCTTTGGCTTCGGTTTTTAATTTTAAAATTTAAATTTTTAATTTAAGTTATTAAGTTATTTTAAGGGCCTTATTTAACTATTTAAAAACCCCTTCAGATTTGTGTTTTTATTTTTATTTAAGCGAAGTCTTCTAGTAAAGTAAAGTAAAGTTAATTGAAAAAGTTTGACAAGCACTGGAAGACCTTCGGCCTACCTTGGGGATTAAAATTTTTAATTTTTTATATTTTTAACTACTTTGTTGGTGCTTTTTAAATAGAAATTAAAAGTGTAAGCTTAACAAAAGTTTTTAGAAGTATTTTTATAAAATATTTTAGCCTCTTAAGTTATCAAAAAACCTTTTAAATATCAACAATATCTTAAATAATTAATTGTATAGCTAATAAAATCCTTTAAAAAATCACCAAAAAACCCCAACCCTAACTAGATACTCCCACTATAACATTTTCATTGTCACCAAATACAGTAGGGTGTTACGTAGTAGAAATTCTTCTACCATTAAGGTGCCTTGTTCACATTTTTTTGCGCTAAAACTTCTGCACAGTGGCACACATTGCCCATTATAGAACTGTCCCTTAAAACTACAAAACAAAAAAACAACAATTTATACAAAAAGTAAACAACGAAATGGTTTTTGTTTAAATTTGTTTACTTTCTCGCCTCTATTGTTGTTGTTTTTTGGCACTTTTTGCTATGTCTGCTTAATGGTATTTAAAGTTCATTTTGGTCATTTGTCTATTTGAGAGCGAAGCCAAAACACACATTTAAACATTTTGCATTCAGAGGCAGCTTGAAACTATTCAGCTTCTATATAGATTTTTTCTCGTATAATGCAATGTGCGGTGTCTATATATTCTATATATATACAGATATATATATATATATATAGCTAGTTGGAATGTGCTATGAAATGTCGCCGGAATGCGATGCGGTCGATGCTGATGTTGTTGGTAGCCAGCAGGCCAGTTGTTGTTGTTGCTGCTGCTGTTGTTGTCGGACGGTGGCAATGCCGAATGCCGCATAGATTCCTCATTACGATTTTAAAATGCATTTCAATTAAGTGCCGCGCACAGTGAAACTTTGATAAAAAGAACCGAAAACGAAACCGAAAACGTAACGAAAACTGAAAACCGTAGAAAGGCAACTGAAGATGATGATAGTGATGAGATAGCAAACGGCACGCTTGCACTTCTCTCTCTCTCTCTCTCTCTCTCTTTCTATCTCCCTTTCTTTCTCTTTCTCGCCTTTCCGTTTCATTACGTTTCTCGATCAAAAAGTTCCCGATTTATCTGCCTTTTCCTTCGATTTCTTCTTGTTTTTCCCTTCGCGAGGAGCATTTAATTAGATGCCCAAGGAATTCGATTTAAAATTCCTTGGCACCCGCTGCAGCCGGGAGAACGTTCTCTCAGTGAAATACGAAAAAAAAATATAAAAAACAAAGAAAACTCACAAAAACAGCAACTGAAGCCGAAACAGAGATAGAGATGCAGATACAGATACATTTGAAGATGCATTTGGCAGATACGGATACAAGTGCAGGCCATGCACTAGGAAATATTGGGTTCTAGGAGTCTTGAAGTGGGAAAATTTGAAAGAAATTTGTTGGGAAATTTAAGATTATGTGGAAAATAGCATAAAAGGTTTATTATTTTGAGCATATAAACTGATAATATTGGAATAATATGGATAAGAACGTCACCTCGGTTCTAAGCCATTCACATCAACCTATACATATCTCCTAATAAAGTTAGAATAGGGCTTATCTTACTGTTATTTATTGGTACTTTCAGATATTTAAACCTTCTAACTCTCCTCAGTCTGTTTTATATATAACCTATAAGCCTGTTTAAAGGGAAAAAGATATAGTAAAAGGTAATGTGATATATCTATTTTCTATAACTTAAAGATGCATAAACAAGACTACTTGTTAGAGGTATTTAAAGTTAATTTTGGTCAGTTGCCTATTTCAGAGCAAAATTCTCTGTTACAAAGCTCAAGTACTAGTAAAAATCTAGAGGAAAAGATCACAACTTTTAAGTTAACAAACTCAAAGTTTCATGCTAGGACTAAATATATATTTCTTACCTAAAAACCTTCCATTTCCTTAGTCATTTTCCAAGACATTCTTAAACTTAGAACCTAGAACCTATAGCCAAGATACTTCTCACTCTCTACCCAAACACTCTACAAGTCAACGTTGGCGATCTCACCTTATCGGGTCATAAATTGCCACGCTCTCTTCATTAGACCAAAAGGTGAAAGGTGAGACGACAGGTAGCAATAGCTGCGGCTTTCGCTTTTGAAGCCTCTCTTGGCTGTTGTTGTTGTTGTTTTTCTTTTTGGCTGAAAGTGAAATGCTGAACTAAACTGAAAAGAAGGAGCTGTAGCTGTATCTGGAGAGAGGAAATATCTTTGGCAGTCTGCTTGTTTGCACATTAATGGGAATTCCACGGCCTCAGCTGAGCGAGTGAGTGAATGGCAATGGGATGATGATGATGATGACGATGCTGACGACTTCTGGCTGAGAGCAATAACAAAAAGGAGAAGGCACGCGGCATGGCATCCAGTATCCCCAGTATCCCAGTATCCAGTATATTGAGTATTTGAGTATCTCAGCCAACAGCAGCCGCACCATCATCATCAGCATGCGTGGCACACTCGCCAACGTGCCGGCCAAAGTTGTCGAATCGCGACGGCAGCCAAGCACAAACATTACACATCCCCAGAAGCACATCCTCCAGCCACGTCCGCATCCTCATAGCCATCCTCATCCCGAAAACCAAAAAAAAACTTCTCCTCCAGTTGTCGTATATATTTTTCTCTCGAATCCAAGTTTGGAATGTTGTCAACGCAAATGCAAGCCTATGCAAGTTTTTGGTATCCTCCTGACTGCCTCTGCCTGCCACCGCCTGCCTGCCTCAGCAATTGCTATTTTTGGTTACCCCCGGTGGGTCTCCCAAAGGGCAGCTCCATTACACATAATGGAGATGTCTTCTACTCCTGCTGCTGCTGCTGCTGCTGCGGCTGTGGCATGGCGCGATTTCATAAACGCGTAGATTTACAACCATTTAATACAAGTGATGATCCTGAACAAACAGCGCGACAACGAGGCACGAACGACAACCGAAAACATTCCGCTCAGTTATTTTGCAACAGCCCATGGCGCCGCCACTGAGGCGGTGATGCAGATGGAGATTCAGACTGGATCTGGTAGAGTCTCTCCTAACCCAATCCCGAATCTCTGTACCAGACCCCAGAGAATCCCCTTAAGACTTGTATGTTTGCCTGTTTGCCAGTTAATCATTGCTGCAATGTGAATGGGAAATTGCCTCAAGAGGCACAAAGGCATAACACCTCCTATAGGAGATGGCTTATTTCGAAAAAAATATTTAATGAGGTTATAAGTGTATATTTAATGGATAGCCATTAACTAGATGGGTTAATTGGGAAGCTGACTAAGTGTTATGGGATTCTTTTAACTTTTCTTGGAATTTTAAAACCTATTTTTAACTTTACTCTTCTCTTTCGTCTATGTTAACTCCATGTTACTTCTTAACTTTTTGTTTAAAAGCTTTTAAAACTATTTTGAGGTACATACTGTACTTAAATACTTAAAGCTTATTAAGATTTAACTATCAATTTCCTATTAGATTGTAGAGATTAATATTGGAAAGATTTTCTGTCACTACAAAGATTTCTTTAATATTTGAAGGATCTTAAACGGATCTTAAAGAAGAACTTAAGGCAACTTAAAAGGAACCTAAGAGGAACTTAAAGGGAACTTAAAAATAACTTAAAAGTAACTTAAGTTTGAATAAAATTTGCTGTAAATATTATTTAAGCTCCATTAGCACGAACACCGCATAAGTCTGCTGATATATGATTGATGTTATGGTTGATGATAATCAACTTCCTCTCTTTGGTATATCGTATTTAGCATATATAACTTCATTGATCCTTCTGTACTAAGTATATTTACTAAATACCCAAAACACAAGCCTCAATTTAAGCCTTAAATACCTTTTAAAGTTATACCTTATCGTTCCTAAGATCTTATCAACAAAAGTACTACAAAAGCTCTAAGATTAATAGGTTTATTTTGTCTAAGCTTTGGATTTTCTTTCATAGTTCTTAAACTAAACACTTTTTACTACCTCCACCTCTTCTTCTCTCTTAATTATCTCAGTAAACTGATCACGATTAAACAATAATTCGTGAACCATTATCATTTTATATAAACATAAATACCTTTGCTTTGCTTTACCTTTAACTATTCCCCCATTTTCTTTATTCTCTCTTACAGAGAGCAGCAGCCCGATGTCGAATCGCAATTTCCCACCATCGTTCTGGAACAGCAATTACGTGCACCCCATACCCGCGCCCACACACCACCAGGTAAGGCCAGAAAGCCCAAAACCAATAACAATAGCAATGGCCAAGAAGTCGATTACCTGCAATACGTGCAGCAATTACGACTTCAAGGAGCCACCGAAGATCCTGCTTCCTCTGCTTTTCCCTTCCCTAACTATGCTAAATAAGTTGTAATCGAATCGGATCTTACAGGTTAGCGACTTGTATGGCACAGCGACGGACACTGGCTATGCCACCGATCCGTGGGTGCCACATGCGGCTCACTATGGTTCCTATGCCCACGCAGCCCATGCCCATGCCGCCCACGCCCACGCCTACCATCACAACATGGCCCAGTACGGCAGTCTACTGAGATTGCCACAGCAGTACGCCAGTCATGGTTCCAGGTGAGTTGGTTAGTGGTAATGGTAACCTATGAACCAGGTGGTGACCTCTTTGGGTTGTTTTTCTGTCTTGCAGGCTGCATCATGACCAGCAGACGGCCCATGCCTTGGAGTACTCCAGCTATCCGACAATGGCAGGTGAGTTTATCGGTGATTTTTATGCTATTTGACTGGGAAATGTTAAGTTTTTAAACTAATAAGATAAAGATAGGATGAAGAAGTAACAGAATCACAAAAAACTAAAAAAAAAACTAGATAATTAACTAATTTTTAACTATTTTTAAAAATATTTTTTAAGCATAAAAACTAAAATATTCTCTAACAACCACTTTATGTCCCATTCCAGGCCTCGAAGCGCAGGTGGCGCAAGTCCAGGAATCATCGAAGGATCTTTACTGGTTCTAAGCCTGACAGGGTACGACATGAGGGTACCCAGGGAACCTTTAGCTAATGTAAAAAGATCCAAGGATCCTTCGGCAGCCTCGTATACCAAGCTTGACCCCAACAAAAAAAAAGGAAAAAAGAAAAGGTCGGGCTTTTCTGAAAACCGCTTCTTAAGCAAAACTGCAGTCTGTGTTTCTGTGTGAGCAAAACAATAACAAACGCAAAGGATTTTGAAATTTAATTTAATTTTACCATAATGTTTAACGTTTAAATATAATTCATAAGCTTAAAAAAAAAAAAAAAACAAAAACACCTTGTAAACAAAAACAAAAAACTAAAAAACAAAAAATTATTAACGCGCATTCGAGACCATTTTTTCAGCGTAATTTGATTTTGTAAGTTTAGCATCCCATATCAGCAATTTAGACACATACAATAATGAAAACTATATACACTATATATATAAATATACACACATAAATATATATATATATATAGATATATATATATATATATATTGGTATTCGTAATCAGCGTTGGTAACGTTTAATAATCAACATTTCTTGTATAGTTAACGCGAACTTTGACATAAACTTAAAGCCACAAACAAAGTTAGAATTTATTTTGTTTAAACTTCGATTTTTGCAAATTTCAACAAACTAGGCTAACGGAAATCAAATTGAGAAAAAACCAAACCACAAAATCAAACAAAAAAAATCTAAATAAAAATAAAAGAAAAAACAAATTTGAATACAATCAAATCAAAATGAGTATTTCTAGGGTTAAGGTTTTGAGATCTGAGGGGGAAATCGATAAAGGTAAGATGGTTGTAATAAATTCTTAATTAGTTTAATGATTAACCCCCAAGAAACCGAATCAGATAAGAGGGCAAATTTCATAATCGTTGACTTTGAATGCTTTCCACGCCATTTAGCCAGGCGCCTTATTAATCTCGGGCTATTTATCATCCCGACAAAAAGGGAAACCAACCCAAAAAAAAACAGACCCAAAACAGAAACAAAAACAAAACGGTAATGATATTAAATCCGAGAAGGAATCTTGCATAATTAATGAAAACACAAATCTCAGATAGTAGCCAAGTGGTGGCACAAGTCATAAATAAGACGCCAAGCTTCTTGCAACTGCAACCGTGACTTTGTCCGTGAACAGTGACTGCCGCTTCTGACCCCCACTTCTTCCTCTACACTTCGGACTCTTTTTAACCGGATTTGTGGTCTTTTTAATACTCTTGGAGAGGGTATGGGGGCTATGATTAGTACTTAGTTTATATTCTTGATTAGCAAGCTGATGATTTTGGTCATCTAGCCATGTCCGTATGACTATTTGGAGCTATTGATACGAAACTTTCCCAATCTTTATCAAATATGTCACTGCTGAAGACCAAATACCTACACTCTATATATGTAAAATATATGTAAGATTATAAGTGTGATTTATATAATTTAAACATGTCCGTATGTCCGTCCGTATGACTTTTAAGTGCTTAGTTTAAAAGACATCTACATGAAATTTTCCTAATATTCTAAAAATATGTTTCGCTGGTAATCGAACATCTATGTTGTATATTTGTGAGTATAAACAATATGATTTAGGTCATATATTCATGTCCCTGTGTTTGTCCGTAAGACTTCTAGGAGCTCAGCTTGCGAGATATCGATGAGGAACTTTAACAATCGTCCAGGAATAGAATTCAACAGTGGTCGAATGTGTATATTATTTGTGTAATATATTAAGAGTATACAATACGATTTTGATAAATAAGCATGTCCGTATGTCCGCCTTTGTGACAGTTTCGAGCTTATCTTTGTAGATAATAATATGAACGTTACCAAATCTTTTAAATATGTATCTGCAGTGTTTGAAAATCTATTTTCTATAAATTAAATTATCCCCAACTTCAGTTCTTAGAAGATATTTAAGAGTTTACAAAAGAGCATCCCAGCTTCAGCTTCCCCAACTTAGCTTCCGTTCTGGTTTTTTACTTACCCTATTATACAACGAGAGTAGAAAGAACGGGGAGAGCACATTGCATTGACTTTCAATGACTTGACGCTGGCCAGTTGGCCAAGTCCCTGGAGTAGCACCTATATAGCTCCTCGGATCTCGAACAGTTGGTCCAAATGCGATCCTGCTCATGAATTAAAGAAATAAAAACAAACGCGCGACATGCTCCCGCTCCATATTCCTCTTATTTTTTAGGTTTTTTATTTGTACGCAACAAATTTATTACTGATCGATGAGCCACTAACTTGCTGGCTTGCTAGCCGGTTGTGGGTCCATTATTTTAGCATAAGAATTCCATAATTTCCAGGGAGGGTTAGAAGGGGGAGCACAGGCGCAGCTCTCCACAAGGTGTTCAACAATTCGCCAAATGCGTTTTGCTCTGGGTTTATCGCTTTTTAATAACTTCCCTTCGCAACTCATTGAATTTAAACTTTATTTCTTCTCTTTTTTGGGTTGGAACCCTTCTTGTTTTTCGTCTCTGGGACATTGTTCCTGCTGCTGTTGTCACTCAAGTTTCGCCATCGAGACAGATGGTTCCGCTTTTGGCGGCTCTACTTCCTTCCTTCATTGCTGGCCAGGTCGAGTGGTAACTCTTCTCGTTGTTTATGGCCGCATTGTGTGTTAATGAGTTAGAGTTACGGTGGTGCATGATCTGGTGGAGAAGGTGTACTGGATAGGAGGGTATATCTAGGGGGTTGTGGAGTGAAAATAGTATTGAATTTGGATCTGAAAACTATAACATTGTGCCTAAGTAGCCTTAGCAGGAAATCTGCATTTAAAATGGGAAAAATGAGACATTAACTTAGGCAACTTCTAACAGTCAGCCTTCTAAGCAGACACCTTCCATCATTAAACTTCCCTTTTGACCTCAACAATTGCCTCTGCCATAAACCAATACCCCACCAAATGCCTCCATAGGTTATCCAACGAAGTGTCAACAAGACCGTTTGCCACATTAAATGGAAATTAATTTTACCCCAGATAAACAAGGAAAAACCGAGGCCCAACAAATTTTCCAAATTGGTATTCGGTTAAATTATGTTAACAAAAGGCCAAGCTGAACCAAAGTTGGATAATAAATAAGATTGGAAAAACAATAATAAAAAGAAAAAAGATCAGAAGCAGCAGCTATGTGGCACGTGGATATTTTTGGAGGCAGCCTAAACGATAGGGGAACTTTGACTCGACGCGGCGACACTTTATGGCCAGCGAATGTGCGTGACTGGCCGCAAAATATAAATAAATATATTTTCCCAGAGTCATTGGGGAGAAGCTATCAGCCACCTCCATCTCCATCTCTATCTTTGCTGGAGGAATGGCTGGCTGAGTCGATGGATGGATGGATGGATGGCAGGGCCTTTGCGTCACGTACGGCGGCATCTCGAGTGCAGCTCGTAAATTTGGCCAAACTTACGGAAAAGTGAGAGATAAGAAGCTAAGGGAAAAATATGGAAAATTGGTTTTTAAGGAATATATATATTTGATATTGTGCTGTGGTCATTCTGGTGTTAGATTTAAGGTAGGAAAATTGATCAAAAATAAAACACAGTTTTAGTTTTGGTTACGTAAAGTTATTAATAGGGGTATCAATAATAACTTTTAAAACCAATATTTTCCTTCACTTATACGAAACTTAAATAGATTTCTTTAGTTATTTGTTGCTTAGTTAATATAGATACTTATTTTGTCTATACCAAACCAACCAATAAGTCCCAAAACCTGACTGACTAATGGGAAAAAATTAACGTAGTTAAATGACAGAATCAATAAAAGCAAATTTAGCTTTGGAATAAAAATCATAATTGATTTGGGAATCTACTTAAAAGTAAAAAAGACATAATACGAGTTTACTCAAAGCTTTTTAGGATGAAGTTTAAGAATGAAGTTCAAAAACATAGACAAAGAAACTAAAACCAGCGGAAATAAAGAAGTGTTAGAAGTAAATGTTTGCTAGGTAAATGGCTAAACTTCTTAAACTTCTTGAACTTCATTTTAAGACAGATTAGATTAGATCATTATATATATATTTATGCAATAAGTTTAGCGCAGTTAGGGACATCGATATAGTCCTTTTCCACTATTCAAGACCCTCTTTGCTAGGGACTATCAAGTAGTATTATCACACTTTTTTCCCAGACTTGCTAAACCATCTAAATTACCTTATACTCTGTATTATACTATAGAGCCTAGAGCTATACACTATATAAACCAAATATAAACAAATACTCCAAATGGCAGTGCAGATATTGGTTGGCTTTTCCTGACAGAGAGAGAGAACGGGAACAGAAATCAATTTATAATTAACGTGTAGATCCAAACACATTTCGAGCACATGTTGGGGGTCCGCTTTCGGGTTCGTCCAATGCTCCCCAGTTACCCACATGCGGCGCTGATTACGGCTGGGATTCGGATGCAGAATCCTCTGAAACCACCTCTCATTCCGAAAAAGAGGGACTACTACTGTTCCCGTTGATGCGATTGTGGCTCCATGTGGCTCCGGTCCGGCGATTGCGCAGACAATCAGCGGCGTTAAAAAATCCATACATCATTTTCCTGCCCGCAATCCGGATTCCCCTGTATGACCCCCTCTATTGGCCCCTACAATGGTTTTTGGGTTCATTTCGGGCTGCCTGCGGTTGCATGTGCATCTGTTCGGTTCGGTTTCCTTTTCCATTTTCCTCCTTTCCATTTGACTGGCTGGTAGGTTGGTCCGGTCATGTCAGTTTTCTGTGTATGTGTGGCGTTTATTCTGTGATTTATTTGTCTGTTCCCTAGCAAGTCCTTCCATCGAGAGAGAGACAGAGAGTTCCCAAAAACCATCTCGAGACAACAAGGTGACATTTCCTGTATATCGGAAAACACAAAATGCTCCATTGATATTCTAATTAATGTGTGGAAAATATCTTTCCTACTCCTTCTCTTTCCTGCTCCTTACAGGACCTCTTTGCTTTTCAAGGTATTTTCTAATTTACACGTTTAAGAAAACAGAATGAAAATTATGAAACAACATTTTGCATACAAACGAAATGCTTCAAAGGGAATGGCCGGGAATTTCAAGTGATATCCCCCTCGAGCGCCCCCCTTAACATCAATGTTTCCCTGGAGCGTTTTGTACCTTGGCAAACTTTTGAAATTCAGACCGCGTTAAAATACTTTTCCTCCGTTTACCTTCGTCCTGTTCAGCTTCTCCCCTCTCTCCCCCCTTTTTTTGTCCTTTTCAATTTAACTCGAGCCGTAGTAAC